GTTCTCATCAGAAGAGGCTGCCGAAGCAGCCTGAGCGGCAACCGGTGGAGGCGCCTGCGGAGGCTCCTGTGCGATCCCAGGTGGATCGTCCGACAGAGGCAGGTTTCCCTGCTGGCTGGAGCTTGGCGCAAATGGCGCTTGTGCCGATGGTGATGATGATTCAGACTCGTCAGGATCGAAGTCAACCTCTTCCTCACCATTAACTTCCATCATGAGGATTGTAACTTCATCCTCATCTAGTCCGCAACCATCGCCTTCTTCTTCTTCTGATGTAGAACTACCGATGATGATGGCCATTGGCGTATCCGGTACAGGCAGGTTTCCCTGCATGGCCGGCGTCTGTGCGTCGCTCGGCTGCCCCGGGGTAGGAGGCGCTGTTGTCGGCTCAGGCTCGTTGCCGAGCACAGGCTGCCCGGCAATGTTGCGCATGGCCGTATGGTTTGGCCACATTCCCACCGCCTGGAGACCCCATCCTGGCGGAGGAAGATCATGGCCGCGCATGGCGATAGCCATTTCCAGAGCATTGCGCCATCTACCGCGGGAGTATATCAGGTGTCTCTGCACGTCCTCAGGATGCACGCTGTCAATGAGAGTCAGAGCTGCCAACAGCAACTCTGAGCTACCGCAGGCGTCAGTATCCTGCAGTATCATACTGTCAGCTTCGATGTGCTCTTGACTCTCGGGATACGCGGTGATAAGTATCTCATGCATCCTCATGAGGGTCTGCAGGAGAGTGCGTGGTCCGTATTCACCTGGAGTAAGCGAACCAGGAGGTATAAATGGGATCTCTGGTTCACCTGCAACGAAAGCTTGAACGAACGCCTGAGACTTCATATCTATTAAGTCTTCAATAGTTTGGGGATAGTCCCCCATCAGAGTAGGCCTGTTTCCAGGCGGGATTTCGGGGGGAGGTTGGAGGTTGCGTTCAACCTCGGAAGGCGAGGCCTCTACAGTGATGTCCTCGTCACTGCTTTCGCAAGCCATGATGTTACCTGGGTTCCCGAACATCCAGTCGAAGAAAGAAAGAGGCTGGTTTCCCAGCGTACCGTGATCCACGGGAGTGAGCTCGTTGTTGCCAATAACGAACCGGCGGACGTACTCGAGGTAGTACGCGTACAATCCATGACCATACGCCTCGAGCTCGTCGACGTTGTCCATGCTACTGACACAAGTGTAAAATATCTGCTCCATGGCTTCAAAATCCTGGAGGCTCAGATACTCAATGAATGGTTCACTTGAGCCAAAATGGACTTCGGTCGACCTGCCCTTTCCATTTCCCTTCGCTGGACAATCTCGCACAAGATGGTCGGTACTGTCACATTCATGGCATTTAAGAACCTGGCCGTCTCTACCTCGCGGGTTTCCCCGCCTACCCCTGCCTTTTCCTGAGGTCTCTCTACGGCCCTTGCCGCGGCCCTTTCCCCCAAAGAATATCTCATCAGATTGTTCATCTGAGAGCCTCTAGAGAAATGCCGCGATGCCTCGTCCGTTCAACCTCCGACGACCTCGCTTACCTTTACCTTTTCCCTTAAAACTCCTCCGTATCCTCCTTCTAACACGACGCACTGGTTTTCGTGTGAACCTCCTCCACCTTCGTTTGGCCTGTTGTAATAACCAGAACAAATGTTCAGCGCGCTGATTGTCATTATCCATATTCATAATATCTGACCAATCTAAAGCTTCAACACCATCTGATGATACAGTATCTGTGTCGGTGCCGGAGTCGAAATCCTCGTCTCCCAAGTAGGTGGATACACCGTCGGTTAGGGGGTTTGATTCACCCCATAAGGAACGGTGTGGTTGTGGTTCTCTGGAAGGAGGGCTGGTTGCCCAGCGTGGTTGTGATCGATCTCCTGCTTGTAGAGCAGTGGATTCTCCAGGATCATCAGCCCATATGCTTGAGGGCCCGTTCCCAGGCTGGGCTTCAGTAGTCAAGGTAGTGTAGAAATTTCCACTACCAGATCCCCTTCCCCTTCCAAACACAGATCCTATATTACCAGGAGACCGTTCGGATAGGTGGCCTATCGAACGCATCCTCTCCAGCAACTCATCATACTGTTGTTGTGTTCGGGGCATTTGGTGATTGAGTGGCTGTAAGAGTTGCATGGCTCGCTGGTTGCCGACGCCTAAGGCGCGGAACAAGATCGTGGTTAGTAGTTGGAAGTTGGGAAGGTCAAATCCCACCGACTGTGCCTCAAGTCGGGCCATTTCGAATCGTGTAAGGGTGACATCGATTCGTTCCCCGTGAGGCACGTGGAAGTCGATGAGTTGTGTGCCGGAAGTGAGCTGGCGCTCATCTTCCAGGCGCTCGAATTTCATGCTTAGGAGGAACATGATGTAGGTCACTGGGTCGGTGTGGACCCCATCGATATCAGCACCGTAATTTATGATGTCAGGCGGTACCCTCATGGCGAGTGTCCTCGCTAGGCCACCTAGGCCGCGTTGTATTGCGGCCGCTTGGGCCTGTGGCGTCATACGTCCGCTTGTGACGTTGAGCCATGCGTTGACCTCATAAACGTACTCACGGAAAGGTACGTTGCCTTGAGGGTCCCAATATGGGCCATGTGTTTGCCCATCGGTGCTGTTGTCTCCACGACGCATGTGTCCGATTGCTGCCCCCAGCGCGAACCATATGATAGCGAAGATAACCAGCCCAAGGCTGTGTAGATAAGGGCGGTTATTAGGCGCGTTGCCGCGCTGGGGTAGCGCCTTGTCGAGTCTTCGAGGCGCTCTATCTGGCGGATCTCTCCGCCCCTGCTTCAAGTATTGCGTTTTTGGCTCGTTGCCGAGCGGTTGGTGGTAGCGCAATGATGAAGCGTATATGGTACCAATATCGTTGTCTAGACGTCGTACCTCTCGTGTTGCTTCTTGCTCTTGGATATATCCTCGTAAACGTACTGGGAGTAATAGCGCAGGGTGGTAGGTGGTCACGAAGATCGTGCCGAAGAGTATGAGGCTAAGAAGAGCAATAGCTGACCACACGAGAGTGCGGCCAGCTCCGCTACCAAGTCGAAAGTGAGCCTGGTAACTCAAATAGCATCCGCTCCCATGGGAATCGAATGGCAGATAGCGTCCATTCCTCTGCTGCGGTGGTTCAGTATGGGGAATGGGCGGGTATGATAGGATAAGATCGATGTATCGGTCTTTCCAGCACATAGCGAACACTAAGGTAAGTGTCCGGGCAAATAGGGCGCGCGTGCCTTGAGCCAAAGGCAACGGCGCGCGAGCTATGCTCCCGATACTATAACATCTCCCAAAGAGCTACCCTTAAAGTCAGGAGGCCTCTAGAAGACCCCACGAGACCACGAGCGCAACGAAAAACACATACACACAGGTCCCAACGGGAATCCCAGGCACCCCAAGTCATAGAAACTGTGCGGCCCTGGTCTCAGTCTTAGCGTTCCTGTGAATTCGGGCCCTGCGCGAGCGAAGCCGACACGCTAGGCAGCGCAGGAGCGCACACGCTTAAGAAGGGTCCGGTGAAACAGACCTCCGATATACACGCAAGATACACGCTAATTGCGAAGCACTTGGCGCGTATGGGCGTATTCCCAACTGCACGCTAAGAGCAGGACCAAAGTTGTGCTATCTCGCCCTGCCAGACGCCTCGTGGAGGCCCCGGAAGACCCCGAAACAGCCCAAGCCACCTGCCAAGATGGCCCTAAACTGAGTATCGTTTATCCGATCCCCATGCCCAGCGGCGTGGCCTGGGCCCCAGTGGCCGATTTCCCCCCTGGATGGGGATATAGGCCGTATCCTTCGGGTTTCGAGAGGAGTATCCCCAACTGGGGGGGTACTTTGGTAGGGGGGGATGGGGATGGGGATGGGGATTGGTGAAACGATACCGATAAACGGCCCGGGAAGCTCCCGCCTGACCTCCAAGATGGCCCCAGAGCGACCCCGAGATCGCTCCAAGGCCGCTCCAAGAAGGCCCCAAGGCGCGCCCACGCGCTCCCAAGAGTCTCCCACAGGGGGAAAACAAACCTACCTCGTTTTTGACCACCCTCGCTTCCAAGAGATACCAAGCGATGCCAAATTGCAGCCCGTACTGGTCAGGCCGCTTGACGAGGAGGCGCGTGGTATGACTTGGTTTTGCCTGGAAGCGAAAGCGGGGTAGGTAATTCACGCTCTGATCCCAGGACGACTCCGAGGCGTCCAAGGAGACGCAGAGGGCCAAGGTCGTCGGCAGAGGCCCCAGCGAGCTCCAGGAAGGCTCCGAGCGAGGGACAGAGGGCCCCCCCACGGCCCCGCAGGACACCCCACGGGGGCCACGCGGCAGGCCCACGCGTGCGGGCACGCGCGCGCCCTGGCCATGCTGCTGATGCTACTGCTGATTGGGAGCTGTGCGTGCTATTTTGAAGGGGAACTGGGACACACAAATAAATACACACAAATAAAAATACCCCCCCATATTTTCTTGTATTTTCTGGGTTTTTGTCTTCCCCCCCACTTCCCATATTTTCCGATATTTTCTTGGAATCGCCGATTAATTGTGTCTGTGTGTTCTTTCCCCTCCTGATATTTCCCTCTAGGAGCTCCCCCGTGACTCCCGCTGTGCTGACTCAGAAACTGCTGCCTCCTGCCGTCGACAACGCCATCGTGTTCTAGCAGGGACGGCCACTCGAGGCTCATGCTCTCATCGCCCCTCGCCTCGCGAGTTCCGACCAGTCACAGGGCGGGTCTCCTCCTCGTCTCCCCCCGTCCGTTTTCCGGTTCCGCCTCCACATCGCCCTTCTGCCTCTTCGAGCCCTCAAGGAGGGCTCAATAGACCACAACCTACCCCAGAATGTGCCAGGTCGGTAGAAAGATCGCAATGGGGAACTTGCAACAATAACTTCCCAACATCCTGCCTGTCCTCTCCACCCCTTCGCATCCCTGCCCCTCGTGGGCATCACACCGCTCTTTGGCACTTCACCATACTCGGGCAATCCGTGTTACCCAGACTACGTTCGCCCCGCCTACCCTTCGGGAATCGGCAGGATGGCGTAAGCCTCCTGAACTATACTCCTTGCCGATCTTCAACACCTCGGAACAACCCTCCTTGGTTCTCGCATCGTCCAACGATCCCGCCTTCATCTCCTCGAACGGCCCGGCCAAGAAGACCTCCAGCCTCGTCTTCTTAGCCTCGGCCTCCACGAGCTCCGTGTCACCAGTCGTCCTCGCCTCGTTGGCTGCAGCGAGCTCCTTCTTTGCGGCTTTCAGGCCCTCCACCGCCCTCTTCTCGGCATCTCTCGCGGCAATGGTGGTCTCCTTCTTGGAGGTCTGCGTGGCTGCCGCCGCCTCGGCTGTCGTGTCGCGGTCACCCTTCTGGGCCTTGAGCTCGTCGAGCCGCGCCTGAGCCGCTGCGACCCCCGCCTCCGCCGAGGCCAGGGCGGCCTTCAGGACGGCGGAGACCATGTCGGCAGCTGTCTGCTGGTGCCTGTGGCGCTCCTCCTTGCACGTGCTCATGATGCTGTCCAGGCTGCCCGCGAGCATGGTGAGTACGTCCTCGGGGTAGCCACCGGTCGCCAGGATCGCAACCTTGATGCCCTTCGTCTTCTTCGCCGCCCCGCCGATCGAGGCCCCAGCGGGCCGCTTCATCGGTGCCATGGCTTCTGGGCGCTCGGCGAGCTCCTGGGCCCCTCCCTAGCGGGTTGGCGGCGCACTCGAGCCAAAACGGCTCCATGTTGCCGAAAGGCGCCGCAAAGATGGTGCCGTGCAGAGCACGGACAGATTTGCAGTGCCCCCCCAGTTTGCCACACATCGTGCGACGGCACACCTGCCCGCCCCCTCGCGTTTCGCGAGGCCGTAGAAGACGCGGCCAGACCGCCGCCCTGTTGCGTCTGCGCGCTACGTCCTGTTGGGTCATAGAAAAGGGGCCCGCGACGTGACCAACAGATCAAACCCAAACTGGGGGGGGTGCAGCTCAATGGCAACATGTTGCAACATGATTCCCGCGCTGAGGCCGCCAGACAGCCGGGAATGCCCGAAAAGGCCTCAAGGGCGGACCTTGGGGGGCCCGGCAGAGAAGACTCGAGAGAGCCCAAGACGGCAAAACTAACATGCCACGTACCCCACGACTCCCAAACAGCGCGCGGCCTTCTCACTCCTCCCCTTCTCCTAATCTTCACTTCTCACTCCACCCCTTCTCTGCGGACATCATTTCCTCCTCCCACATCCCGACGCGTCCTCCTTCTCCTCCTCCCTTCTCCTCCGCCTCCTGTCCCTCCTCCTCCTCTGCCTCTGCCTCCTCCTCCTCCTCCTCCTCCTCCTCCTCCTCCTCCTCCTCCTCCTCCTCCTCCTCCTCCTCCTCCTCCTCCTCCTCCCCCTCCTCCACAATTACTCAATATGAATACTACTCTCCCTCTTCCCCTGATGACGGCATGGGAGTGTCCGACCCCCCCCCGCGTACTGTTTTTTACACACAGGTTTCCCCTGAGTTGGGCTTTCGCCTGCATTTTTTTCAAAATGCTGCTCTCGCTGAAGCACCGCCCTCATTTTCGGGCCCCGCTCGTTCCGAATCGTGCTCCCGCTGCAGCGCTGGCCTCATTTCCGTGCTTCCGCTCGTTCCGAATCGTGCTCCCGCTGCAGCGTTGGCCTCATTTCCGCGCTTCCGCTCGTTTCGACTCCTGCTCCCGCTGCAGCGCTGGCGTCATTTCCCGTGCCATGCCACGGCATGCACTGCAATGCTAGGTTGATACTACGCTTTGCGGTGCTCTTCTACGCCATGCCATGCCGTGCTCTACAATGCATCGCGTACCCTTTCGGGATCATTGCCCTGCTCGACATCCGACTGAGCGAGTAGAGAGGGGATCTGCGCCATGGTAAGGGATGGGAGGGAGGGGTAGGATGTCAGATATGACGCGAGCGCACCTAGCTTGTCCCCCTCCCCCCTCCCCCCCTCCCCTCCCCCACCCCTCCCCTCCTCCTCCTCCTCCCCCTCCTCCTCCTCCTCCTCCTCCTCCTCCTCCTCCTCCTCTCCTCCCCTCCGCCTCCGCCTCCGCCTCCGCCTCCGCCTCCGCCTCCGCCTCCGCCTCCGCCTCCTCCTCCTCTGCCTCCTCCTCTGCCTCCTCTGCCTCCTCCTCCTCCTCCTCCTCCTCCTCCTCCTCCTCCTCCTCCTCCTCCTCCTCCTCCTCTCCTCCTCCTCCTCCTCCTCCTCCTCCTCCTCCTCCTCCTCCTCCTCCTCCTCCTCCTCCTCCTCCTCCTCCTCCTCCTCCTCCTCTCCTCCTCCTCCTCCTCCTCCTCATCCTCCTCTCTTCCGCTTCCTCTCCCTCCTCCCCCCGCCTCCTCCTCCTCCTCGTCCTCCTCCTCCTCCTCATCCTCATCCTCCTCATCCTCCTCTCCTACTTCTCGCATATCCTCCGTCTCCACGGGTGAAATCTGCGTCCTCGGCACTAAACGATCATATCTCCATCTGCAAAACGGCCCCACGTCCTCCGTCTCCCGGCCCCCTCCCCCTCCCTGCCAGGTGCTGGGATGGCCATGGCCAAGGTGGCCTCCCTGGATGCGGGGGAACATTAGTGGGGACTGGCTCAGGAGGGGGAGGACATCGAGCTGTAATCGGCGATACATCGCCGACAGATCGGTGATGGGCCCCCGATGGCAAATCCGAACGTTCCTGGGCGGGGTGGGCTATCGGGCCCCTATCAGGGATGAACGGGCGATATAAGGTCGCGCACCGCCCCGCTAAAGCCTTTCCCCCCCCTGAGTCCCGTTGCCCCCGAGGGGGATGGGTGGGGTGGGGGGGGCGCGAGGAGATCGAGGGCAGAGAGAGACTGGCCCATTTTCGCCGAGCCTGCGCGCCCCGCCGCCCCGCCTACGGCTCCTGCACCTGCACGCACTCCGAGCACCTGGCTCGGAGGGCAACGACAGTAACAGTGTCACGCCCCCATGGGGAGATCCTGACCGCTCGAACTTAGGCGCAGTCTGATAACGCACCCCCGAGAGAACGACTGACCGAAAACGAGTGCGACCATGGGATCGAGCCTCTGTGCACACAGGAACCTTGGCCGCCAAACTGCCCCCAAGACACACCTGCTAAGTGGTCAAGCCACCGCGGTTGTTTCCGAGACTACCACATGCCTGGGAGGACGCGAGGAGGCGAAGGAATGGGACGGGGAGGACAGGATAGCAATAGGGATAAGATAGGGGGATGGAACATTAATTACGGAGGGAGCGCATCATTGCTTGAAACTCCTCCCCATGCTCATGCTCGTTCTCGTCTGCCTTTTCCTCGAAGCGTAACGGGTAGCCCTGCGAGGCCCCCTTCCAGGCCGGCCCTGTCCGCCTCCGCCTCCGCCTCCTCGTCCGCCATCTCCTCCTCATCATCGTCATCATCCTCCTGCTCTTCCTCCTCCTCCTCCTCCTCCTCCTCCTCCTTCTCCTCCTCCTCTTCCACTTCCTCCTCCTCCCTCCTCCGCCTCCTCCTCCTCCTCCTCCTCCTCCTCCTCCTCCTCCTCCTCCTCCTCCCCCCTTCCCCTCCTCATCCTCATCCTCCTCATCCTCCTCCTCCGCCTCCTCGGCGGTGACTCAGTGATGCGGACAGTGCCGAGCGATCGCCCCGGTGCCCTTGATACCCTCCCCCCAAACGGTGCTGGGGGAGGGCAGAACCAAAACCAAGAGGAGAGAAGCGAGACAAGAAAGACGGCCCCCGAAGGGTGATGATGCACCAGGGCTGAACCGAACGGTGTTTTTCGTTTTCGTGTTGTTTTCGTTTTCCCTTGCTTTTGTCTCGAATCCACCTTTACCGCAAAACGAAGTCGGAACGAAAACGGCCCACGAAATCACCAAAAACACAGTTTAGGTCCAGCCCTGTGACGCACCTCGGGGGGGAGGAGTGTGATGCTTCGCCTGCTCCCCTGCCTCGTCATTCTCGTCCCCGTCCTCTTTCTACGCATCCCCGTCGTGATTTCCGCCCACCTCACACCGCCCTCTCCTCCTCCTCCTCCTCCTCCTCCTCCTCCTCCTCCTCCTCCTCCTCCTCCTCCTCCTCCTCCTCCTGCTCCTCCGTTTCCCCTCCCCTTCCGAACCTCGACAGAGGACGGCCCTCTGCTGGAGTCGCGCGGTCGGACGACCCCCTAGCGCGACAATGTGGAACAAGTGCCAGGCTTTGGGACGAAACACGGATGAGTAACACGCACAGGCCCCCACTTGGACCTCGGAGCCTTCGCAGACGCCAGACACACGACGTGCCGCTGACGCCCTAAGCGAGCTGGTACGCAGAGGTGCCGCTGAGCACGGCCTCGTTACTGTCGAACTCCTTGCGCCGCCCCCCTGCCGTGGGCATGTCCGACCCCCGACATCCGTTGAGTGGGCAGTCCGTCTAGCTGCGGAGCAGACTACCCCCGCCACCTCGGACGCTGCGCGCGTGGCCCTCCATCGGGCCTTCCCACGGGCCCGGGAAGGTGAGCTTGAAAAACTAAGCGCGCGTGACATTGATGCCCTGGCTCCCTCCCGACTGGTAACCCCCCCGGGGCGCCGGTGGGCACCGAAAGCAAAACGCCGAAAGGAAGCGTCGAGGACACGCATCGGGGGCCGGCCGCCAGGGCGCAGCGAGGACCCTCAGAAACCGACAGCTGCCGTGATCCCTTCGCGGCTCGGCCGCGAGGATGCCCGGGTACGGGGGTCACGCGCCGACGCCTGGACCTGCTCTGGGGTGCGCTCCGACCAGACATTTCGCGGCGGATGCAGCCCCGAGGTGCAGAGATGCTCCAACATCAGCTCGACGATTTTTGTTCCAGTGCGCGAGGGGGTGGGCCCCCCCCTCCCATCCCTCGCCAGTCGAGAGGAGGAGGAGGAGGAGGAGAAGGAGGAGGAGGATAATGAAAGGGAGGAGGAGGAGGAGGAGGAGGAGGAGAAGGAGAAGGAGGAGGAGGAGGACGGAAGGGGGGAGGAGGAGGAGGAGGAGGAGGAGAAGGAGGAGGGAAAGAGGGGGGAGGAGGAGGAGGAGGAGGAGGAGAGGAGGAGGAGGAGGCGAAAGGAGGAGGAGGAGGAGGAGGAGGAGGAAGAGGAGGAGGAGCGAGGGGGCACGTTCGGAGGGTACCTGCTCAGGGGGAACACCAGGCCGGAATTGGCGATACCTCGCCGACAGACCGGCGCTACGCCCGGACAGCGAGACCCTAGGCGGGCCAGGCCACAGGGCCCCCATCCGCAATCCCTGGGCGACGGGGCGTCGCTGCCTCCCGCCCCGAGCCGCTCCGCCCGCCTGGTGGCTTTCGGGCCAGAGCTCGGGCCTCCGGCGGCCGCTCGGGACGGACCGGGCACCCCCATGGAGCGCTCTCGGCGAGGCGCAGCCGCGGGAGAGCACCACGAGGCTGTAGAACCGCGATGGGAGGGTCGAGGCGTCCTCCTCCTCCTCCTCCTCCTCCTCCTCCTCCTCCTCCTCCTCCTCCTCCTCCCATGAGAGGGATCACCTCCTCTTCTCGGGCGGCTTCGTCAGCATCTTCCGCGAGAAGGCCTCCGGCGGCTGCGCGGCGCAGCACCCGACGCAGAAGTGCCAGCCCGCGGGCGGGACGTCGAAGGCCAGCTCCGCGGGCAGCGCGGCCTCCTGGGGGGCGGCGGGCAGGGCGAGGGCGGGCTTCGGGCGAGCACACCTCTGAGCGAGCGAGGAACTGACGACCTACCAGACCACCCCAACCCAAGCCGAAGACCCGAATTTCGGCTTGGGGGGGGGGGGGAGGGTTCCACACGAGTTTTTTCGATGCTTCCCGACTCCCCCCCACTGGAAATCGAGGGTAATGAGCGAGCAACGACATGTGTACATGTACGCCCTCCGCGGTATTGCGTGCACGAACCTCCGCGTTCAAACGCAATTCGGCGGAAACAAACCGCGTACATGTACATATGTTGTTGCCCTCTGAGGTAAATCTGAGCCTTCGGGTTGGGTTGGGGTGGTTTGGTGGGTGGTGAGGAACGGTGGGAGGGAAGTCCTGGTGCGGGCAAGGCGTGTTCCATATCCACTGCGAGGACAGCAAGCGACCACAACCACCATCGTCAGAACACGGAAGCCAGCCTGGCTGTGGTCGATGTGGGCGTCCCGGGACGGCCGAATCGACCACAACCACAACATGTCGAGATCTGTGAGTTCTCCCATGATGGGCCCTTCAGAAAAATCCACTTAGTTGTGGTTGTGGTCTCTATTGTGCCCGCATCTTCTGCTTCTTGGAGCTTCGGGCTCCCGTTCCCCAGAAACCAGAGGCGCAGTGGATATGATGGGTGAATAGATGGCCCCTAATGGCTAGATTGGTATACATATTGTTGGCGCCCCTTCCCGCAATGCATATGGACATAAATATTGCCCACTCTTGGAGGCCTCGCTCGGCAACTTGAGACCAAACGAACGTCTGATCCACGTCGGATTTACGTCGGGACGCCTGCCCTGGGGATCAGCGATAACGCCTGCCCTTGGCGTCAAGAGGCAACTTCAGGGGGTCCTTCGTTAGAACGACTGGGGGCTACTGAGCTCGACTGAGGGGCCGTTCAACCAGATCAGCCCAGACCCACCCCAGGATTTGATCAGATTGGGCCGGATTGAACGGGGTGAGACAAAACTGAACGGGATTATGCCAGATTCGGCCGGATGCTTGACCACAGCAGGGGTAAGGCAGGTTCGCACGAGCATGCGTCTCAGCGGGCGAAGAACGGTGTAACACCCACCGAGCCGTTCGGGTCTCCAGGCGTCCCCCCGTAGTCTCCCCTGGGCGAGTCCCAAATTGCGCATTTGAATTGGTGGTCCCAAGATGGTGCAGTGACGGACTGCACGGCGACCTCGAAATCGCAACGGACCTCACCGTACGTTCGTCACCGCACGGTTTTGGGACCGTCTGGGGGCTCGGGTCGCCCGACAGACAGGCAGACAGAACCCGTGCACGTCAGAATTAACCCACTGCCCCCGATAGTAAATCATCCCCGCCCCCTTCACCCCCTCTATTTTGCATCCCGTGTCAATAGGATTCAATTGTGGAGAAGGCGCGGAGGCCGAACTTGATAATTCCCAGGGAAGTTGCAAATCGAAGTTGCTAACATCTCATGTTGACTAGCAACAGCATCAAACGAGCGCAATATAGGTTTCTCGGCCAGAAACGCCAAGGACCTCTCTTGCGCAGGCAAGTTGTAGCCACGAGCCTCGAGATCTCTCGAATCAGCCTTGTGCCAAGATCTACAAGGTCAGTCTACACGAGCACCCAGGATATCATCATCGTCATCGTCATCATCATCATCAGCATCATCATCATCATCCTCGTCGTCGTCATCGTCATCGTCATCGTCATCGTCATCGTCATCATCATCATCATCATCATCATCATCATCATCATCATCATCATTATCATCATCATCGTCAGCATCAGTATCATCATCGTCGTCATCAGCATCATCACAATCATGATTCATCATCATCCTAACTTACCTAGCATCAGCGTCCCCAAGAAAATCGTTGATTATCCGCGCCAGACCCCCGACATTTATTATCACACTGCGACTAGTATCGGGAACACTCGGTTACGATAGCAATATGGTGAAACGGAGACGATTGGGTGAAACCATGAGCGTGCTGTGGTAACTCATATTCAGGAACCCACACGAATTCCCAGCGGGACCTGAGACGAGGGTAAAGGACAATAAAACAGGGAAACCCACATACTCAAGAACCGCGCGGTCACCCCGAATCCCCACTTAACCCTGGGAAGCAAACAGTAACCCCCCCGGCGATATCGTTAGCACGGAAAATAAAACAAATAATTATTTTGGGCGGCGCCCTCCGGCGATATCGTTAGCACATTAAAAAATATAATAAAATAATTAATTAATTTGCCCCCCCCCCAGGCCCGAAGCTGGCGGCAACGTGAGGCGACGGCCTGAAGAACCAATGCGCACGAACGCTGTCCAATGGGTTCCCGCCTAGAACACAGGGAAACTGACGCGCATCGGAAATCAAAGGTAAATCAAAAACGACAAACAATGAAATCACCGCAAGCAGCTATACTTGAAAGGACCCCCCAAAGGAATCCCAGAGGAATCTCAGAAGGAAACCCACGCAGAATCTCAAAGGAACCCTATTGGAAATTCATAGCAATCTCAAAGGAACCCCACAGAAATCGCAAAGGGATCTCAGCGGCAGCTCAAACGAACCACGTGGACATAAGGCATCCCTATTGCGACGGCACTGGGGAAATTGATTATTTCAGGGGATCCTGTGGGAGAGTCCGCGGAGAGATATCGCAGACGGATTCCGCGAACCCCCCCGCGATATGTTAGCACATGTATTGAAAATAAAATAATCCACAAGCGCCGGAGGTCGATGTGATGCTCCCTTCAGGGATTGTCGAAGGAATGTCAGAGGAACTTGAAAGGACCCCCCAAAGGAATCCCAGAAGAATATCACAAAGAATCCCACGCATGATATCAAAGGAACCAATGGAAGTTCAAAGCAATCTCAAAGGAGCCCAACAGAAATCGCAAAGGCATCTCAGCGGCAGCTCAAACGAACCACGAAGGAATCTAAGGAATTTGGAAAACGCGGGCTCGCGTGGACATAAGCAATCCCTATGGCGACCGCACTAGGGAAATTGATTCATTCAGGGGATCCTGGGGGAGAGTCCACGGAGAGATATCGCAGACGGATTCCGCGAACCCCCCAGCGATATGTTAGCACATGTATTGAAAATATAATAATCCACCGGCCCCGGATGTCGATGTGATGCTCCCTTAAGCAATGGGGCATCAAAGGGATATGACCGGAACCTCAAGGGACCCCCAGAATAACATCAAAGGAACACCAGAGGAGTCTCAAAGGAGTCCCAAAAGAATCACACTGGAAACGGCAAGGAATCTCAAAAGAAGCCAATCGGAGTATCAAAGGAATCTCTGGGGAATCTCACAGAAACGCACAGAATCACAGGAAGCGACTCTGGGCAGGTGTGCCTTGTCGCTGGGCTCGGGGGAACAAGGGGACCGGGCATTCAGAGGCTTGTGGAGGCCTTTCTGGATGCCTCCTGGGAACCTCCGGGGACCTCCCCTCCGCGGACCTCTGGTGACCTGCGGGGGATATCGCTTCCGCCCCGGCCCCGGTGCCAGAAGCGTTATAATTTCCTCTGATGAGGGGGGGGGGGGGGGGAGGGGGGTTTACTGATTGCTTCCCAGGGTTACTCACCACACGGTGTGGTCTCCACACCGCTTTGGCACCCCAATTGAACTCCAAGATGGCCGAGCCTGCCTCTAAGACGGCCAAGGAGCCCAGGATGGCCCCAACAATGCCTCCAAAACTGCGGGGACATCTCAGCGGGCGAAGATCGGTGTAAAATAAAATGTGCCGCCATGGGGGACGCCTGCCATGGGCGGCTGGGAAGGTGATACCCCTACGGAAGGCGGTTTAGTGCCGACGCGGCCAGAAGGAACCCTCGCAAGAAACCCTTCCCCGAAGATCCGCGCGCGAGGTGCGACTGGGGGCAGCCCACAGCACCCTGGGCGCAGCAGGTTCCTCAATGGACGCGGGGTCACCGCGCAGCGCGCGAAGCGAAGAAAACCAATGTAACCTGACCGCAATTGGCGGCGCGCCCAAGGTGGCAGGGGGAGGGGCGAAGGCTTCTTGGGAGGCTGCCTCCTGGCAGGCGCCCGACCTACCTCAACAGATGAGGCACGCGCCTCCTGATAAGCAGGGTGCTTCTGAGAAGACCTCCCCCCCTTCCCCCCGTCTGCGCGTGGCCGCGACAAGCACCCAGCATCTTGACGCTCGGCCCCACTGTGCCGCCCTTCGCCCGCCCAAACTCGGGAGCCTCGCACGATGCGGTGCCGCAGAGGAGGAGGAGGAGGAGGAGGAGGAGGAGGAGGCGGAGCAGGAGGAGGAGGAGGAGCAGGAGGAGGAGGAGGAGCAGGAGGAGGAGGATGAGGAGGAGGCGGAGGATCGCGCTGAGGCCCAGCTTGGCCTTCCCCGGGGAGGCGCGGGTGGCTTCCGGGGGCACCCCTCGCGAGGAAGCACCCCGGGATGAGGACCGCGCCGGATGAGCACAGACTGGGAACCCCAGATCGCCGAACTTCGCGCGGGGAGCCCCGCGATGATGCGTGGGCATCTCCACGCCCCCGCGCCGCGCCCTCGAGAGGGGCACCTCTGAAGGGGCCCAGGGGCACACAAAAAAATACAAGCCCAAGGATTCCCCCAAATTTGTGGATGTAGTGCGTGGAGTCTCCTCTTCCCCACCACTTCCCAGATGTTCCCAGATCTTCCTCGGAATCGGTGTTTATGGGTGGGTGGGGTGGGGTGGGGGTGGGAGCGCTCCTCCTCCTCCTCCTCCTCCTCCTCCTCCTCCTCCGCCTCCTCACCTCCTCCTCCTCCTCCTCCTCCTCCTCCTCCTCCTCCTCCTCCTCCTCCTCCTCCTCCTCCTCCTCGCGGCTGCGTTTGTGTTTCCCTCCTGGACCTCCGCGGCCCCGGCCGCGAAGCGGCGCGGATGCTCGGGCGAAGCCCGGAGCGGCCCGGGGGCTGTCACCCGGGCCCACGCGCGGGGCGAGCACGCGAGAGCCGCAGCATGCCCCAAGAGCAGCACGACATGCCTTCGGGTACCAACACGTGCGGGGAACTCCGGTCCCCCCCGGCCCCCACGCACGAAGGGTGGGGGGTTTGGCCCGGGCAACAACCGCTACGCGCCAGAGGGTAGCGTTAAGTCGGGCGTGTCCCCCCACAGGGGGATCCTCGACGAAAAATGAAGAATACTCAAAAAATACCTTAACATGGTCAGGAAATACTTGAAAGATGGTCCCCATCCTATTCCTTGACTGTGTTTGGATACTCCCACTGCAGAGGGAGAGACCCGACTCAAGGGTAGCGCAGAACCATCTCCACAGTGACCCTGGCCCAGAGCCCCCCCCCCACAAGGCCCTGAGGTCCTCCTCCTCCTCCTCCTCCTCCTCCTCCTCCTCCTCCCTCCTCCTCCTCCCCTCCTCTCCTCCTCCTCCTCCTCCTCCTCCTCCTCCTCCTCCTCCTCCTCCTCCTCCTCCTCCTCCTCCTCCTCCCTGGAGGCTCAGAGCTGGGGGCCTTTGGGCCGAGGACCACTCCTCGCTGCACCCCGAGGGCAAGAGATACACATCGGGAAGCTTAAGGAGAGCCGGCGGGCCCGGGAGGATGCCTCGGGCGCCGCGGCTGGCTCCGCGACGATTCAAAAAGTGGTCCCGGAGCCCTCCGGGACGCTCCGGAACGATCTCTCCTGCTCCTCAGCAAGGGAAGCCACTCAGGGAAGCCACTCCCCTGGCCACCACCAAGCAAACTCGGAGCCACCCCCAAAGACCGAGCGACGTCTTCGAACGAGCCATCCTCTCATCCTGCAGGTATGCCGGGCCTGCCGCGGGGGCAGGCCGACGAGCACGGGGACCTCGCGGCGTTGCGGCGTCGGCGCCAGCTTCTGACACCGCGCGGGGGGCTCCGCCTTGAGCGACATGGCGGCCTTCGGTGGCGCGGTGACCGCGTTCGGTGTCGGAGGCCGGCTGCGGGTCGCGGGCGGCGTGCGGCCCAGAGGTGACGACCGAAGCCGGGGCCACGCTCCCGACGGCTGGCGCCCGAGGCGCAGGAGGAGGAGGGAGGAGGAGGAGGAGGAGGAGGAGGAGGAGGAGGAGGAGGAGGAGGAGGAGGAGGAGGCGGAGGAGGAGGAGGAGGAGGAGGAGGAGGAGGGAGGAGGAGGAGGAGAGGAGGAGGAGGAGAGGAGGAGGAGGGAGGAGGAGGAGGAGGAGGAGGAGGAGGAGGAGGAGAGGAGGAGGAGGAGGAGAGCGCCCCGCCCCCCCACCCCCCGCCCCGTGCCGTCCTTCAGGGCGGCCTGGGCCTCCGCCAGCGGCAGGCCGCTCACATCCTGGCCCCGGTGAGGCACCGTTGCCCGCCCGTCGAGCGAAGCAGGCAGGAGCATGAGGTGGTGAAAGGCGGATAAAAGGTAGTAGATGGGGCTCGGGCCCGCCCAGAGAATAGCAAAGACAACCGAACATGCGGGTTGTTGAAGTAGGAAGGCGCTTGAAGCAGATTGGGATCTCTGCCTCCCGCTAAAACTACTTTCAACGACCGTCGTGTACGATCGCCGTGCTACCACAGGGAGCGAAAGGGGCTTTTCTGACCACGACGAGCCTCGGACACGAATAGGTTTCCCGACCGAAACCTAAGAAGCGGCCCGAAAACCAGGGCCCCTCCTGAGACCGACGTGGTCTTTGCTTCAGTGCCTTGCCTGTGGTCTTCGAAAACGGAACGCCGAGAGGAGGGCCGGGTAGGAACTGGGCAGAAGGGAACGTCTGGGGGAGGGGGGGCAGGAGGAAGCAGGATGGGGCAGGAGGGGGACGAGGCTGAGAGGGGGGAGGGGGGGGAGGGAGGTGGAATGGAGAGGGAGGAGGAAGAGCAGGAAGAGAAGGACAAGCAAGGTGCGCTCGCGCCAGATATGACATCCTGCCCCTCCTCCCACCCATTCCTTCCCGTTGCGTTGCTGTTGTCTGAATCCGCGGACGCATGTTACAGCGGACCTGGAACTCCCAAAGAAGAAAACCAGTTCGGGGGGGTTATGCGCAATCGGAAACAGCAGAAGCTGCGTACATACGAGGAGACGGCGGATGAGTAGGAGGAGAACCAGGGGGAAGGAGGAGGAGGGCGAGGACGAACAGCAGCAGCAGCACCAGGAGCGGAAGGAGCCAGAAGAGGAAGAGGAGGAGGAGGAGAAGGAGGAGGAGGAAGAGGAGGAGGAGGAGGAGGAGCGCACTTCCCCGAAGAAAGCCCGTCCAGGGGCAAATCCGTTTCCCATCAAGGAGGCTATACCCGTGCGGCAAGGCACGAAGGATTTTGCACCGATGGGCGAAGGCGCACGCCCGACTGGATGTGTAACTACCTTCTAAGAGCCGCATGGGTTCGAGCATCCCTCGCCGATGCGCGTCGAACCGTGCCCGGGCATATCTCAGGATGGATTATCCCCCACTCGTGCGCTTGGATTTGAGGGTGTGATACCCATTTAAAACACTTGCAGGAGGACTGCCAGAGACAAAACACCGTCGGCTGAGAGATCGCGCCGTTCAAGAGCACGGGCGAAGAGGCGGGAGGAGGCCGAGGGGGCGGGGAAGCCAGCAGGGAGCAGAGGGAAGACCATCACGCATTCCATTGCAACGCGCCTTCAAAAGCGCAGACACGATGCACAGGGGCACAGATGGTGTAGGCGGTTCAAATCACTGTAAAAAGGTATCGATCCACAACGCGCGGGGAGACGAGGGGCTCGAAGTATTGCATACGACGAAACATCGTCGGCCTCGGGTTCCGACCTGTGCTCAGATTGGGATGCGCTCTGTCGCGCGCTGAAGCAAAGCCGTGCCAGAACAGGGGATGGAAGGGATCGAGGGGAGGCGCTGGCCGGAAGTTCGAAATCATACAAAAAGGTAACGTGGCCTTGCGTCATCCGTTGTCGCGAGAATCTAGGGGGCGGCCGACCCCAGCGCCCACGGAATGCACGAGACCCATTGCCTTCTCAAAGCCACGGCTGGTCAGGGCGGCTCGATGCAGAGCGGCGGCACCAGCGCTCTCGCTCGAACGAGCTCTCAAATCAAAGCCAAAAACGCCCAAACAAAACAAGGGTTCCGAGAGGGTCGCTTCGCGGGGAGTGCTCATAATGACCCAAAAAGGGCTTCCCGCCCCTCGCTTAGACACAAGCCGCAAGGGAGATAAAACTGGCGAGTGCGCGAGAGCACGGGGCGCGCCCGTTTATTGTAGAGGCACGCAGAGTTAAACAAATCGAGGCTCAGGCGCTTCATGTCCCAGGCCCGCCCCACCAACTTGACCGAGGGTGCTTCCCTGCTCTTCCGTGGCCCGCCAGGCCCCACCCAGACGCCGAGATACTTGGCGTTGCGAGCGACTCCGAATGCAGCAGCAACGACGCGGTTCCCCATCAACTCCGTGGCAACCTGTGTTGTGCCGCCGCCAGCAAATGGAGCGAGCGCGCACTTTCGGAAGTTCAGCTCGACCCAAACATAGCAGCAACGAACGCGGCGACGCAGACCTCGAGGGCGACCCAAAGGTTTGCGGCCACGACCCCCACGTCGTCAGCGAAGGCCCTCGCGCAACACCCGCGCGAGAGTTGGAGCAGCAGGAGTCGACTGAACGGGCCGAAGCACAAGACAACTTTGATCTCGAGGCAGAGCACCTGTGTTAAATATCCCATCATAACCCAATTTCCGAAGTCCCGAAGTCCGCAAAACTGGATTTGAACTTACATCCCTGGTACAAAGCCTTCAGCGCGTCGATGATATAGGACGGTAAATGCATCTGGACCAGAACCCACCATATCGTCGCGCGATAAAGCGATGGAGCGGCCACTTGGGCATCCAGGAAAGCCGCCCTGGCCTCGTCGCGCCCTTGTTGGTACCACCAAGACAAGGCACGACTTCCAACGCCCGCGACGTTGGACCTGAGATCCCGCCCCACAACAAGAACCCGCTGATCAATGGCGACTGTCGTTTGGCAAAGAAATTTAAATGGTCTGTTGATAACACTAGATCTTATTATGTTGTCGGTGCTGCTGAGACATAGATAGTGGCTGGGTCGCAGGAGGCGACGAGCCCGTGGGCCCCCAGTCCTCAACTTGCGCACTGCAACCCAATGTTCGGCAAGAAAAGACGCCGCACGGGCGGGGCCCGATTCGACACCGCCGTCGCCCGCGAGAATCCCGGCGACAAGTGCGCGCTTGGTGCCAGCCCGCCTCGCACTCCTAAATTTCATTAGTCGTTGCTTCCGCCCTCGCTTGTGCTTCGGAGGGACCGCCGACGTTTTCGCCTCTGCGATATCTTCCTGGCGCGCGCCTTCAGGGGCGCCCGTGGGGGACCAACGCCATCGAGCAAGCTGGCGTTGCCGGCCGCATCAACGATCGGCGGGGCGCCACTCGAAAGATTTCTCGCGCCAGCGGGCACCCGCGGAATTCCGCCGAGCGAGCTCGAGCGCCCCGAGTGGCACTTCGAAGGCGCTGCGAAAGCAGACGCTGCCGGGAGCCACCGCGATGATGTCTGGCACTGCCGGGCTGCATCGCGATGACGTCTGACCAAGCCCATCGCCATGGCCAAAACCAGCCCCATCCGAGAGCCCGGAAAATGTTTGATAACCTTTCGATCACGTATAATGATAAAGATTCCCTTGGTTCGAAAAAAACACATGTTCGAACATAGTCAGAGGTATTCAAAAATATCTCATAATATTCAAACCAGACGTTTTGGGATGGGCTGGGATGCGGACTGGTCCTAGGTCAGAGAACGCGCCGTCTGGTCGACCGGCTCCCCCTCGGGTAACCAATGCAAGCTGTAGGGTGCGACGCGTATGCGTTGCTGTCGATTGCAAGGGACGGGCCCAAACCTGGCGCGCTCAGATGCGAGCGTAACTTAATCGCGCGATGCGGGTACCGACGCGAGGTCGAGCTCATTCCGCGAGAAACATCACCCGACCCCCTCTGGGCCAGCACCAGAGGTCACTCCAGCGAAGGGTCACGCTGACGCGTGGTCGATCCATGCGATTCTGAGCAAGCTGGCCCACGTGCCCGTGGAGACCCGGGATGTCCAACCAGAACATATTTTCGACATCGATGTACCTCCAGAGGGCATCGCAGGCAATCAGAGCACGCGCGACCTGCGCGCGCCCACCCCCGCGCACCCCGCGCAGAGCCGCCGAGGGCCAGGCGAGCTCCTCGGCGCGCGCGCGCCGTCCGAGCCTCGGCCGATCTCATTGCCCAGCGGGCAGCCGCACGGGAAGAAAAACCGTAAACTCAAGCACGCGAGTGGGAAGGTCTCTGAAACCCGAGATCCAGACCCGCCGCTTGTCACAAGTGCGGCCGTCGCGTGCAGGTCTGGCGCGAGCATCGCCAGACGAACTGAGGGAGCTCCCGGCGCCGTGACTCTGCACCTGGGTGGCCCACGGGTCGGCGCCTCGCGGCGCTGGGGCGGGGGAGTCATTGAGCGACCCCCCGGCAGGCGGCGGCGGGCGCACGGCAGCTCTCTTCATGTGGTGTCGATGTCCTTGAAAAGCTGGTCCTGCTTGGCGTCGTAAGCCTGCAGCCGCGCGTCCTCTACGGCCGAGGACTGCGCCAGCTTGGATTCCAACGCCCGGACTCCGGTCGCCATGTTGAATTGAGAGCTTTCCATGGGCACGCATCTCGCCGCGCAGGGCGCAGTGCCCCTGGCGCACCTCATGAACGAGGGCGGCATGGCTCTGCTGGTCCTCCTGGCGAAAGGTCATCATCATCATCCTGGCCAGGTCCGCGATGCTGGAGGGAAGCTCCTCCGCAGGGGCTGGCGATGGTGTAGCTCCTTGCCCACCGCGCTGGAACTTGTGGGGCGGAGCACCGTCCTCCTCCACGGTGTACCCCTCGGACCGCTCGTCGTAGGGGTCCTGCCAGTGGCCTTCGGCGTCTTCTTGGGCCACGAGGGCCTCGACGTCGATGGGATGGTCCTGCATGTCCATGGGGATGGGAAGATCGTGGTCCGCCATTGCACGACACACTGGATTGCTCGGCAGTTCGAGCTGCCCACTCAAGTGGTATGCAAGTGGTATGCAAACAACTTGAGCCAAAATGGCAACGGAAGGAGGAGGAGGGGGAGGAAGAGGAGGAGGAGGACCAAGGGAAGGCGGAGCAGGAGAAAGGGAGGGGGGGCGACAACGATGAGGAAGCACTGGGACCCAGCAGAGCGATCCGCGCTGGGGCGAGAGCGCCATCCTGAACGACGTGAGCAAAACCCAGGGCCTGAAGTGGGGACCACGCTGCAGCGAGAGCACCATCCTGGAAGGAGAAGGAACGTCTGGAGTGCAGAAGCACATGAGACAGATCAGCTCGGCAACGTCCTGTGCGCAAGGGAACGACACGCGGAGGGGGCTGGGCCCGCTCCCCGGCCATCTCCAGGTGAGAGAGGGAGTAGTATCAAGTCGGGCACGTCCCTCTACAGGAGGAATATTCCAATAACAAAACACACACACACAAAATAGTCTGGGGACACTTTTCTATATTTTCGACATATTTGGTGAACTTTCGGGCAATGTTTGATTTTGCCCCCAAAATCCCCCTGTAGGAGGACAGGCCCGACTTAAGAGTAGTACTCACATTGGGCATTCCATTGTTGAGGAGGGAGAAGGGAGCAGGAGGAGGGGGAGAGGGGAGGAAGGACGGCGAAGGACGGGGAGTCTCAGGGAGGTCCCCGGCCGAGCCTGCTCGCCAACGCACGCCAGGGCCCAGCCAGGCCGCACCCCCTGCGCCCAGGCCGGCTTGCCCTCGGAGGCTTTGGCCACCCGGTAGCCCGCGGCGCCTCCTGGAGACGATGGAGGAGGCTTGCGGAGCTCACTGTGCGCACAGGTGGAGGGAGGCGGGGGGCGGGGGAGAAGAGAAGGGCAGGAGGGAGGGAGGAAGGGGGCTGGGACCAGAGAGACGGAGGAGGGAGGGAGGGGCAGGAAGGGGAGCGCGATCGGGAACGGCAGCGGCAGGACGGGGAGGGAGGCGAGGGGGTGAGGGACCGAGGGCATGAGGGGGGGGGGGGGGTCAGAGCGCAGGGGGAGGCATGAAGGAGGCGGAGGGCTGGGACGAAGGGCATGGAGTGGGACAGATGGGGTGGCCGCCCCCTCCTCCCCCTCCTCCTCCTCCTCCTCCTCCTCCTCCTCCTCCTCCTCCTCCTCCTCCTCCTCCTCCTCCCCTTCATCGTTATATTCCCTCTCCTCCTCCTCATCCTCCTCCTCCTCCTCCTCCTCCTCCTCCTCCTCCGCATAGCCGATCATCCCAGACATCCCTTGCTCCCCCGCCTCTATCTCCTCCTGCCTGGCGACGTGCGTGCACTCGGGCCCCCCCCTCAGATCTCCAGACATGTGCTGCTTCTCCAGGAGTTCTGGCGCAAATCAGCGCGACGGCCCGCATAGTCGCACAATGTCCCTAGGTGCGAGGCTGAAGTGGAGCTCCACGGTGCGGGTCCTCGTCGAATCTCCCCTCGCAAACACTACGTTTGATCCTGGAACCGGTGCCCATCGCTTTCCTCTGTCGAAATCCGTCCCTCGATGCTCGCACTCACTCTTCTTTTCGGACATGACCCGTGGGGTCGCTGGGCCCTGGTCTACAACAACCAGGGCTCCCAGGTGGAAATACGCATGATTCCGACCCGCCGGTCTTACTGCGGACTGCAGACTGCAGATGTTCTCAACATTCCAACCCATCTACACAGCCGGCCCCCAAACAAACGTGTTTGACTGTTCAATGATTCCGCACCCTCCGACACAAATTACCCTGGCGACGTACCCAACCCCTGCGCAAAAGCGGGGCGCAAATAGTTTAGGATACTTTATAAGGGGGCGATGACGGAGCGAGGGTTACATATGTCTGCAGACGGAATTCGGGAGACTCGCAGGACACTGGCTACAGGAAAAGGGCTTGATAAAGCTGATGATTTACAATTCCTGAGCACTCCTAGCCACTTCGAAAACGGGGATCACAGCAGGCCTCGAGGCAGTGCTTCGCAGATCGCAGCCCCCCAGGGATGGCGAGGTCTAATTTGAATCCGCGCGTGGCCCTCACTGTGCTGGGCCCCCCAGCAGGCCTCGAAAGTGGCGACAGTTTCACAGATCGCAGCCCCCCAGGAAGGTGGCGAGGTCGAAAGTGGCGACAGTTTCACAGATCGCAGCCCCCCAGGAATGGCGAGGTCTAATTTGGATCTGCCGCGATTACCCTCTATGCTGGACCCCCCAGCAGGCCTCGAAACTGGCGACAGTTTCGCAGCCCCCCGCAGGCAAGACAGAACGGGGCAGGAAAGAGGCGGGAGGCGGGAGGAGGAAGGACGCGACCACACTGCTCTATTCAAAACGAATACCCAACCAAGGAGGGTTGGGAAAAACTAATGTGTTGAGGTGCGGCAGGAGCCTCCCTGCTTATCCAACCGTTCGGAAGAAATCGGTGAAACATGAAGTAGGAAGGCGTTGAACATATATTGGATTTCCACCTGCCCCCTGCAGAGGAACAGGAAAACACATTCGTCACTCGACAATTAAAATATAATGAGCCGCCTAATTCACATGGGGATTTGCAAACCCAAACATACATGTATTCGACTACCGATGGGTATGAATCATGTTCAATGGTACCATGCGTTTGCTCCTACTATCACTCCTCCGTCTCCTCCCTCACCTCCTCCTCCCACATCGAACCCTCACACATCGCTCCTTCCATCCAATTCACTCTCCGTTCTGCCTTTTCCTTCCTCCTCCCCGTCGTTGTCTCTCTTCCCCTTCCTCTCTGCTCCCACCTCCATCCTCTCACCCCCTTTGATTCCTTCTCCTTCGCCCCTGTCCTCCTCCCCCTCCCCTCCTAGTCCGACTGCCCGAGTTAGAAGCCGCCCGGCCCCTCAAAAGAATTCCGCCCGACCCGACCCAATCCGACGCTCCGCCCGTCCGCCCGTCAGATTCCGCCCGACCCCACACAAAGATAGCGGGTCTCGAGGGCTAGGTACACGTAAGGCACGCGGCAAGAATAAAAGAGCGTCATGAAGGCAATCCGTATTGAGCGTCGAAGATGGCTAAAAGATGGCTCAAGAGGCCCCCCAAAAGTGCCCAACATGACCCCGAAACGAACCAAAGAGGGGGCCCAAAAGCGCGCAACCCTGGCGCTGGTCTCTTCACACAGTCCATGAGAGCCCCGATAACCTCCAGGGCACACCCACGTGGGCCACACACACCCAGGAGCCACCCCAGAACTCCCTACACGAGACCCCCAAAACATGTCTCCGGGGTGGTGGATGGGTCGCGGGGCGGGGCGCGGAAGGGATCACCGGGCGCGTTGCGAGACGGGCGACGACAACGACGCCGCCCCACTTCAGTCACGCACCCTAATCAGGGCAGCAAAAGGCCGCCCCGCCACTCGCTCCTGCAGGCAGGAGCAGCACGAGGCATGCGAGAATGGGCTCACCCGAGAGCTGGAACTCAGCGCCCCTCAAACGGGGACTCCACTAACGGGTACTTTGGCCAGTGACCCAGCGAACCCAACCCTTCCCGATGTGGGCAAAGCTGCAATGCAAGAAAAAGGCCCTAAAGTGGCGACTTTCGGCAAACATTCAAAGTACCCGTTAGTAAGTACCCGTTACGGTGCCGTTGAGGAACCAGATGCACGTGCTGCCCGGACGCCGTGGCCCTCTTCGGGGTCCATCTCAAGGGATGCGGCCGCGCGGCCTCTCGGATCAGCCTGCCGGGTGGCATGCATGAGCCTCGCGTCCCCTGTCCGTTTCCCTCTCCTCCTCCTCCTCCTCCTCCTCCTCCTCCTCCTCCTCCTCCTCCTCCTCCTCCTCCTCCTCCTCGCCTCGAGGGAAAAGCAGGGGCCACCGCCACCGAAAACACATCGGCGGGGGCCGACCCCTGACCCGTGATTCTCAGCAGTGGTTTCCGTTTCTCCGTAGTGATCTCTGTTTCCCCTCTGATCGCCCGCCTCCCCATTGTCGTGCTGCGTCACTCCTTCGGAGGAGCTCGCAGGAGTCATCCCGAAGGGACGCGCTTCCAGCGTGACAACTACCCGCTCCCACGTGACCTCTGCAGCGACCGCCTTGGCCTCTGCAGCTCTTTCGGCAGCCCTGGCCGCCTCCGCCTCCTTGGCCTTGGCGACGCAGGCTTTGCAAGTCGCGACTAGCAACCTGATGACGGCCTCTTCCTGATTCTTCCGCTCCTGAACCTCACACTTCTCCACCTGGCCAGGGCCAAGAACTGAGACTTTCGCGACGGTGTTTTACCTTGAGATATTTGCAGAATGTCCCCCCCCCACCCATGAGTGGCTTGCCCTATGACGACGCTCCACGCTCAAACCGAATACCTGGTTGCAAACCTTGCCAACGCTCCTGCTTCTGCCCAGCCTGCCCCTCCCCACACTCATCTGTCGTGTGTTGGTTCTCCTCCCTCCGTCGTTGCTCCCCCCTCGTCCTCCTGCCTCCTCGTCGTCCTCTACTGCTCGCCCGCGTGGGGCCCACCTGTGCGTCGGAGAACTCGCTGCAGGGCAAATACTCGCGCTTGCAATCGCTGCACGCGAACTTTGTCAGCTCGTTGCCCATGATGTCGATGACCCGGCGGGGGGCAAGTGGGGAGGCCGAGGTTGTCGGGTGGACAGTGTCGGGAAAGAAATCAACCAGGGGGCGGGCGGAGTGGGCCAGAGTTGCTCCCCCCAGAGGGACCGAACTACAACCCCGCGTCCAGAACGTGATGGACGCTTGTAGCTCCGTTCGACTACCAATGTTGGTTGGCTCCCCCGATCACAGTCCTCTCGAGATTTGATGGCAGCGGGACCGACCAGCCGGTACAGTGGGGGCTCGGCCACAAGAAACCTCGGCAAGAAACCCAACCCTGAGATCCGCGATTTGTTCAGTGAAAGTCCACATGTGTCGATCGAAGATCGTCAAGATCTGATTGGGAGCCCATCGAAATCCAAGAAACCCAGGGCACCCTGGCAAAATCCAACTGGTTTCTTGGCACGCGCCCCCACTGTATGACAACAACTTCCAGAGACTCGTGGCCACGAGCGGCCGCAGCGCCGAGCGGCCACTCGTGGCCACGAGGGGCCACGAGTGGCCGCGAACGGACTCTCGCGGCAACTCGTGGCCACGAGCGGCCACGAAATAGAAACCACTGCGGCTGACGCTGCCACAGCACTACGGCCGCCCGCCCCCTCCTCCTCCTCCTCTTCCTCCTCCTCCTCCTCCTCCTCCTCCTCCTCCTCCTCCTCCTCTACGACCAACATCACCGTGCCTGGAGCACGGCGGTTCCCACTACTCCGGGGCCCCAAAACCGTGCGGTGGTGGACCGCGTGGTGACCTCGGGATCCCCAACGACCTCACCGCGCGGTCCGTCATTGCACGGCTCCGGGATCCTAGAGGCCCCAAGCCGCCCGAGGCGTCCTCGGAGCACGAGCCTGGTCAAGGCCGCGCGGTGACCCCGAGCCAACGCTGACTCACCACACGGTGTGATCACCACTCCGTTCGTTGAGCAGGGACCGACCGTCCCGGCATTCCTATAGTCCTACCACGAAATGCTCTTAGAACCCCAAAAATGTTCTTAACAAAAACACGGTTCTCAGAACATAAGCCCGATGTGCTCAAACGAAGCAGACTCCACCAGAAACGTTCTGATCACATTTTTCCTGGGAGCCACAGCAGGTTCTTAGAACATGGTTTGGTGGGCCTGTAGGCGCTCCAGGACGCTTCGCCACCGCTTGACGAACTCCCTTCGCCTATTTGGACACCCGAAATGGGTACCGAAAGAATGGGCAACATGCCCAACAACAAATGTTGTCCCGAACCAACAGCGGCCGCTGTTGGGCAGGCGGCATCCTGTCTCGAATGGACACGGGCCGCGGCGGCGCGGACAGCGAGCCCTGTTCAAAAGGAACGGGAACTGCTGCTGGGCATCGTGCCCATTCTTTCAGTGCCCATCTCGGGCGTCCAGAGCCCAGCGTCCCCGCCTGCCTCCCCCCCGGCATGGTGCGGAAGCTCGTCATGGCGAGGCCGTGGCGGCGTCGCAAGGGGCGCAGGCGGGGCCGCACCGCGGCGCTCGAGCCCAGAGGCTCGTGGACGGTCCCCGCGGGCCTGCCCCCCCGCCCCCCCCCGTGGAACGGCCAGCCGCGGCCCCCGCCCCCCCCAGGGGCACTCCTCCCTCTCCCCCTCCCCCTCTTCCTCCTCCTCCACCTCCCCCCTTCCCCCCTCCACCTCCTCCTGCTGCTCCTCCTCCTCCTCCTGCTCCCCCTCCCCATTGCCCTCCACCTCCTCCTCCTCCTCCTCCTCCTCCTCCTCCTCCTCCTCCTCCTCCTGGGTCCCCCCCCCTCCCCCTCCCCCCCATCCTCCTCCTCTTCCTTCCCCTCCTCCACCATTTCCTTATAGACAACTTCTCCCTGTCGCACCCCCAGGCCAGTTTTCAGGGCGGGCCAGGCGTCTCGCCTGAGACTTCCTCACCCCTGTTGATCCTGAAGCTTGAAAAAATGGCAACAGTTTCACAGATGGAGGGCGGGTGGTTTTCAACATGTGGCTCTCGCCGTAGCGCCGCGCGCGCATTCGATTTAAAACAAATCCAAGAGTTTCACGGATTGAGGGCGGGTCGTTTTCAAACTGTGGCTCTCGCCATAGCGCCGCGCACATTGGTGTCAAACAGATTGCAAGAGCTTCGCGGATTGAGGGCGGACCGTTGTCAAAATGTGACTCTCGCCTTACCGCCACGTACATCACAAATGCAAGAGTTTCACGGATTGAAGGCGGCCTTTTTCAAGATGTGGCTCTCGCCTCGGCACCGCGCACATTCGTTTCTAAAACGTGCAAGCGTTTCACGGGACCCCATGATCAGCGTACCAGACATAGCATGTTGGAAGGAGTCAGGAGTGAGGGGGCAACAGTTACGTTGATTCGCTATGTTGAAGTTCCAAGAATGGCGTTGTGGCACGGTTCAAGATCGCCAAGACGCAACAGTCAGGTTAATCCGTGGTGTTGGAATCCCGAGAACACTGTTTTGGCATGCTTCAGGGTCTTCAAACGGTTGTCATCTAACGAGGCAGTTCCCTCAGTGGGAATGAACCGTTGTTGGGACCTATGAAGAGGGAGCTTGGAGGGAGAGACGGTTCCTACATCGTTGATGCCCCTTGGGTTTACACTGGTCCTCCTCCGCCCCCTCCCCCTGCCCCTCCTCCTCCGCCCCCTCCCCCTGCCCCTCCTCCTCCTCCTCCGCCTCCTCCTCCTCCTCCTCCTCCTCCTCTCCTCTCCTCTCTCCTCCTCCCTCCCCTCCTCCTCCTCCCTCCCCTCCCCTCCCTCCCCCTCCCTCCTCCTCCCCCTCCCCCCTCTCCCTCCTCCTCCTCCACCTTCTCCTCCTCCCTCCTCCTCCTCCTCCTCCCCTCCTCCTCCTCCTCCTCTCCTCCTCCTTCCTCCTCCACCTCCTCCGCCTCCTCCTCCTCCTCCTCCTTCTCCTCCTCCTCCTCCTCCTCCCCTCCTCCCTCTACACCTCGCCCATCCCGCTCCGCTCCGCCTCAATTTCCCTCCTCCTCCTCCTCCTCCTCCTCCTCCTCCACCTCTACTTCCTCCTCCTTCACGTCGTCCGAGAACTATCACTAACCGACTCCCGTGAACCGGGACACTGGCTACACCGCTATACGCCAAGGGCTCACAGGGTCCACAGGCAGACTTGCCTGCACCGAGCGTCTTGAACAAGGAAGTTGTAACTTTGCGCCAGCCACGGCCATCTCTTAAGCCCTACCTGCTGCCAACACTTGTGAGGCCGAGGCGAAGGCAAATACTTGCAATATCCTTGACATTGTGTTGTACTAGTTTTGTCTAGTCGATGCGCAGTGTGTAGAGCCTGCGCGAGTGATAATCACACCATGGGGATAATAACGTTCAGGGTCCTGGGATGACAACAAAAAACATAATATATCGATGTTGGGATGTCTGGATGGGTCTTGAATAACATCCAAGCTGATCTCCGGAGAAGTAAAAGGAGGTTTAAAAGAAGGAGCATGAAAAGCGTAGACAAGAAGGACGGAGTAGGACGAGGACAAGAACATAGGAAAAAGAAGGACGACGAGGAGAGGGAGGAGAAGGATATACCACAAGAAATCACAATGTCGGGCCTATCTCAAATATTAGTGGTTGTTTTCTACTCGTCGTGTAAGAACACTCATGGTTGCTCTTCGGGGTGATCAACCATGACGGCGATGCAGAGGCTCAACTGGAGCGCGGAGAGAGGAAGGTGGGGAGGGGGAGTAAAAGGAGGAGGAGACAAATAAGAGAAGAGATATAAGTAAGAGAACACGTAAAGAAGAGAAGGGAGATAAAAAGGAAAGGAAGATACGGTATGCCTGGATTGGAGTCTACGAGAGGACGATGATGAAAAAGGATGGTGATGATGAGGATGATGAGGATGATGATGATGATAACAAAGGATAACCATGATAATACTATTTAGTGTACGATTCGTACATTCCCAAGTGCTTTACAAAATCGGCCTCGCCGCTCCGCCCCCCTATCAAATATAAGTATCCCATAGTAAATCATGACTCATGGGTTAAAGGGGGGATGCTTTATTATCGCGGGCATGCGGTCAGCCAGGGAGGTTCATCAGCCTACAGGTTTCGCCCCCAGCCCCCAAGGGCTCGGGACCCCGAGGAGCCCCCCCTGCGGGGCCGCACTTGCCCTTGTTGCGAATGCCGGGTATGCATGGGGGTTGCGCACAGGGCGTGCGCATGTGGGTTGCGGTTTGCTTGCGTGTTTGCTTGCTTGCATGAGTACTTACTTGCTTCTGGGCTTGCTCGCGGGCTAGCTCGATTGCGAGGAGCCGGCCGGGGGCCAATTCCCGCGGAGTCGGCCCGCTTCTCTGCGTCGCTCAGCCGACACCCAGCGAACCAACACATGATGACCACGACACTTTCTTCGGAGGAGCGCACGTTGAGACAGCTGCGGTTCCCTGGCCCAGCCCAAATGCGTTCCAAATCGGCCCCTGGCCGGGCCCCTCCTGGGCTTCATCCTGGCACTTTCCTCGACGCAAATTCCGCCATGTAGCGACGAGGAGGCCTCCAGGAGGCCCAAGAGGACGAACCACTGCAGGTCTCAAATCCGCGCGGTATCAGACCGCGAGTTGACCTCAGAAACCCCAGACCTCACAGCACGGTCCGTCACAGGAACAACGACCGACTCACCACGCGGCGTGGTGCGGAAAAGGGCGCCTTGAGACGACGGCAGCTCGAAATCTGTCTCCGGACCCCTCCGGGGCCCGAACGCACCAGTTTCCCGAGCTGCGTCCAGCCGTGGCAACGAAGGGGCCCCCCCGAAGGCCCACTACCAGTTTCTCATCTCGCCCTTCTCTGACTAACGCCCCCCCAATGATCCTCGCCGTCTGTTTTTCGGGTCATAACTCCTGTTTCCAGCGGCCGTTCGGACGATTCGGGCACCCCCAGAGCGCTCTCGGCGACGCGCAGATGCTGGAAAACACCCTGAGGCCAGGAACCCGCCGAGAAGCGACGCAAACGTCCGAACACCACGAACCTCGAACCCGAAACCTCGAGCCCGCCTTCTGATTTCCGTACTTGGCACCTACTCGACGTCCCGACAACAAGCCGGTCGTGCGCGCCCCGCGGGAGGCCGTTGCCTGGCTCACCGCAGGCTCCGCAGCCGTTCCTCCAGGGCCTCGAAGTCCTCGTCGAGCCTCGGAATGGTACAGTCGAAGTAAGAGCAAACCTCCTTCGGGAGCGGCCAAGAGGGGGGTGTCCAAGAGGGGGGGGTGCGGATCATGACTGGCGGCACGTGCGCGGCCCAGCGGGGGGGCCAGGGGCGTAATGAAATAAGAAGAGGCGCCATGAAATCTGGGGAAATATCATGGCCCCCGCCATGATGTCCCCCCCCCCCCTAGTCATCGCCCCCCTCTTCTCCGCCCCCGAAACTTCAGGGGAGCTGCAACAGACCGGAAGAGCACAAGACCAATAAGCACACACGCGCACACAGCCGAGCTCCGCGCAAAGCTCGCGGATCGGGGACGGCTCCCTCTCCCTGGGCGCGCGGAGCGCGCCAGGGGCGGCGTCCGAGGCGCCGCCGAAAGGCTCCAGCGCCGACGCGAGAAATCCGCGCGAAGCTCCGAAAGTTGACCTCCTCTTTGCTTTTCAAGATGCGGCTACCGCCATCGCGATACGGTCATCGGCCTGACCTGAGGAACGATGAGTCAGGAACGAAGCCCCCTTTTCTCCAGGGCGTAACGCGTAAGGGAAAATAAATAATACATAATGCTTAAAAGGAACGATAAATGGAACGACCGAGCCACTCTTGAAAAGCAAGCGTTCCTTATTCAAGCCGCGAACTGTACCACAGGGAGCGCTGGCCGCGGAGCGAACGGGCTCTTCTGGTCGCCGCGAGCCCCCGGCCACGAAGGGGCCCCCGACCTGGACTTCAGGAGCGGCCCGAGCACCGGAGTCCCTCCGCAGCGGTCGCTCTTCGAACGCCCTGATGGCACGGCTGGCCCACTGCAGTGGAGAAAAGCGCGGAGCTCGCTGGCCGAACAGGCCACAGGAGCGCCGCCAGAGTCTCGGATGCGAGGCTCAGAGTATTTGGAAATTGCGACTTCGCGCGCGCGGGGCGGCCCCTGGGGGCCCCGTGAGGAGAAATTCCTGGCGACGCCGGGTGGCGATGAGGTCGGTGAAAAGCAAGGGCGCAGGGCTTGACCACGAGGTAAGAAGCTGAGAACCCTACTCATAGGATAACGTCGGCGACGTCTCGAGGTATCACAAAACTCATCCCTTGATGGCAAACAAGACGAGAAAGAGAAACCATGGGAATGTGAGATGGATCATAGAAGGACGTGGCCTTTGTCCGTTGCTACGATCCTGACTGAGACGCACAGAGTCTCGTGCACCTGGCATATAGGACAGCGCTGCCTTGAGCGAAGACGGCGTCGGATATAGCATTCGCCATGCAGCCTCTCCTTAAACCTCGTGTAAAGTTGCGTTTCGTCCTGGACGCCGTCCAGGAACACTCGAAGCTGGCCCTGAATGAGCGGCAGGCTCCACGACCCTGGGCCAAGATCGCTCGAAGACTGCTCAAGACGGCCTCGAGACCGCCCCAGGTGGACCCCAGCCAGCCCTAGAGGAGCCCAAGACGTACCCAGAGGGCCCCAAGAGCACATAGTGGCCCGAGAGGCATTGGGAAGATTTCGGCGCTCTTTGTTTCCGCATCCGACCGCCCAAGAGGCTTCCAATATCGCCCAGAGACAGCCGAAGACGCTGCCAAGAGAGCCCCCAGACTGCCCAAGACAGCCCAAGACGGGCAGCTGGAGGCCCACAAGAAAGCTCAAGAGGCCCCAAAGAGGCCCCCAGTAGGCCCCCGCGAGAGTTCATGAGGCCCACAGGACGCCCCCTGCGCGAAAAGATAGCCCCAACAGGCCCTCAGACGGCCCCGAAGGCTCTCCAAAGAGGCCACAAGAGGCCCCAGAAGCTTCAAACATTACTCAAAGAGGCCTCCCAAAGAGGCCTCTTGTCCACGACCCAGCCGCGCTTCGTGGGCCGGCGGAAGTGGCGAGGCAAAAGCAAGAACGTAGAAAAACAACACACCAACAAAACAAAACCGAAACATCTGTATGGCCATAAAGCGCCTGGTTGCAAGACGAACGCTGGACACTAGAACACCAACGGAAGGCTAAGGAACAATCAGCTTTCACCTTCCGAACCAGGGCTGTTCCTGCTTTCACGATTTGACTGCACAATCGCATACGCGCCCAAAACTCCGCACGAACTTCTGGCGCCGTCCGAGGGGGTCCCAACGCCCACCCAATAAATCCACGCAGGCGAAACTGTATGTGTATGCTGTTGTTTCTCGCTCGACTCCTCAATCAGCGGCAACTCCGAGTCCAATATCAAATTCACCGCGATGCCCTTCAAGCCGAAACGGCCTGTCCGGCCGACACGGTGAAGGTACGTCTCCATGACCACGGAATTATCGGCCGAGTAGCCGACGGGAAGCTCGAAGTTTACGACCAAAGTCACCTGCGGCACGTCGATGCCTCGACTAAGCACGTCCGTAGCGATGAGCACACGGGTGACGCCTTGACGAAATTCCTGCATTACCTGGTCACGAATAGCAGGATCCATCCTCTCCTCACCCTGGGCCTGCGTGCCGCAAATAAGGGACACGGAATAGCCCGAGTCCCTCATCTGCTTCGCGAGCCAGAACGCTGTCCTGCGGCTGTTCACGAAGACCACACTCTGTCCGACGCTCATGGCCGAATACAAACGAGTAAGCATACCGAACTTTCCGTCGTCGCACTCGCACCGTAAATCTGCCTCCGTGCCCCGTAGCACGCTGAAGCGTGGTCATGCCAGGGCCTGCCTGGCAGTGTCTCTGGAATCTGCGAAGGGGCCCCCCCCCTCCCCTGCACGTATCCTATCTTTCCCCCACCTCCCGAGACGTCCTGGGCGGCCTGACGCCTCCATGGTCATCGCCAAGGCCCTCTGAGAAGTTCAAGATGGCCGAGGAAGGCCGCAAAGGTCGCCAGGATGGCCGAGCCAGCTTCAAGACGAACCCAGTAGCTCCTAAGAAGCACCAAACAGATCCATAGAGGAGTCCAAGACGCCTCCAGGCATCCCCAAGACGCTCCCCAGGAGGCCCTCGAGAGGCCAAAAACATGAAGTGCTCCTCGTGTGTTTCAAGATGCTTCGCTTTCTACGCTCTCTGGTCGAAGACCGATCCACGTGTGGTCTGCGAAGGCCCAGGGGGCCACTGAGATCCCTAAGATGGCCCCTGGACGGAAGAAAGGCCTCGAGAGAGCCTCAAGCCGTCACATGTGACACCTTTTGTCTCCTCTTCTTGAAGAGCTCTCACGGGGCTCATTTGGGTCGTCCTGGCACTGTCTCAAGTTCTGGGGGTATTCGTGCCGTCTTGGGGCTGCCTCAGGGGCTCCCTGGGGCCCTCTTGGGGCGCCTTGGAGCCCCCTTGGCCCGTCGTGGCGATCTCGTGAGCTGCCTCGAGGCCCTCCTGGCCGTCTGGGGGGCTCGTGGGGTGCCCTGAGGCCCTCTTGGCCGTCTTGGGGGGGTCTGTTCGTGGACGTCGAGGTGCCGTAGCAGGCTGTCTTGCTTCCTTCGGAAGCCCTCTTGGGCCAGCTTTCGTATTCCTCCTCGTCGTCCTCATCCTCTTAATCAACTCCAAGGCGAAGTCACAGACACCCAAAATAGCCCAAGGCAACCTAGATGTCACGTGTGGCGGCAATTGGGCGTTGCTCCAAACGCTTCCACACAACGGATGACGTTGCGAATGTCCCCTACCTCGGGGCACAAGGATTCACACAGTACGGCTTCCTGGCGCTCGTCGAACAGTCGCCACCCTGAGTGCTGGCTTGCACGATGGCTGGACTTGCCACAGGCAACTGTATAAAACTGATTGACGCTGGAAACAGTCAGCTCCGTCTTCCGGACTCTGATCGACATTGCGCGAGGCACCAAGCTCTCCGCAAATTGTCGCACATCGTCTGGATAAGTTGCGCTGAAAAATAAAACCTGCAACTTCTCTGGCAACAACTTCCGGATCTGCAGCACCTGCGGACCCATTGCGTTGGATGAGTCAAGCATCATATCTGCTTCGTCTAGCACGAAGATGCTAACAGTGCGTGCGTCGAGGGTCCTTTTGCATATGTCTAGAAGCTTGCCGGGTGTGCCGATGAGCACGTGGCAATCTGGGCTGCGATACAGGCGGTCCATGCCTGGCACAACGAGCAGAGTCCTCACTGGCATGAACTTCCCGAGCGTAGAGACGACGCTGTCAACCTGTGTGGCCAGTCCGCTGACCCCTTCCGAGTCCACAGGCGTCCAACATTCCCAGAAGATGTCCAACCCCGAAATCTCGATGGGGGGCCAGCCCATCCAGCACGCTCAACCCGGCCCGTGGCCGCCCCCCTCCGCACCCCAAGATGGCGTCCAAAACGTTACTCGGAAGCCACAGCCCCGCTCAAGACGGCCACAGAACGATACACGATGAGAGGCTCCGAACGAATACCCTTTTTGTTTTATTGTTTCGGTGTTTTGTTTTTTCTGACGCCCTCCCAAGACCAGTCTGCATCTATCTCACTGCCGAGCCAAACACTGACCATGAGGCTATGAGGCAATTGCAAACGGGCCGGTCGACCAGGTAGTCGAGCACCATGTGTGCACGACTCGCTTGGATAAGATGATGCAGTCGAGTGCGATGTATGCGCGACTCACTGGGAAAAAGGCGATACGTTTGGCAAGGGCGCTGCCTCACCGCCCTCGAGGTCCCAAGCTGGGCACCCCAAGGCTCCGATGCTGCACCCGGGCCCCGCCCCTGGCGGCCCCCGAGCGGGTCACGAGGCACCCCCCTTCGAGGACTTCGCACCCCCCCGTCCACGTCTCCCTCTCCCTGCTCCCTCCTCCACCTCCTACCCCTCCTCCGCTTTCTGCTCAGCCATCTCCCTCCGCGCTTGACCTTTTCTCCCCTCTCGGGCTCCTCCTCTTCCATTCGTCGACCCCGTCCTCCCACAACTCATCCGACGGGTGCGAATGGGGAGGGTGGGGAGCAGGATCACGAGCGTCGAACGTAAACACATTCACGTCCTCACGATCTGGATTCCGAGGCGCGATCCCATGGACACGCGGTCGCACGGATGCGTTCCGCGCGTGGCCTCCGCGAAAGAGCGGCCCGCATCCGCGGGGCCGCGGCCCAGGGGCCTGGCCACAAAGAGGCTGCGGATGCGGATGCTTTGCGCTCGCCCGCGACGGGATGCGGCGCGGGCCCGCTGCATTCTCTGGTGGGGCATATGATCATCGCCTGCGGACGACCTACCAGACCACCCCAACCCAACCCGAAGACCCTAATTTCGGGTTGGGGGGGGGTAAGGGTTCCACATATGTGTTTTTTCGATGCTTCCCGACCCCCCCCCCACACCGGAAATCGAGGGTAAATTGAGCCTTCGGGTTGGGTTGGGGTGGTTTGGTGGGTGGTGAAGGATGCGGCGCAGGCCCACTGAATTCTCTGGTGGGGCATATGATCATCGCCTGCGGCTCCCAGCGGTCGATGTCCAGCGCCGTCAGCAGCGCCAGGGCGAAGGTGGCCGTCTTGCCGGAGCCGTTCTGCGCCTGCCCGACCATGCTCTGGCCGAGGCCGCCCTCGCCCCGGCGCGCGATGACCGGCAGCGCCGCGGCCTGAATCTTCGAGGGCTTCACGAAGCCCATCTCGTACACGCCCTTGCGAAGAACGGTACAAAATAAACTTTTTCGCCGTCGGGGACACCTGCCCCAGGGCGGCTGGAAAGTTTATACCCTTACGGTGGCACCGTAGGGGTATAAACTTTCCAGCCGCCCAGGGACAGGCGCCCCCGACAGCGAAAAAGTGTATTTTATACCGTTCTTCGCTCGCTGACCTTCAGGAGGCTTTTGTTGTGGATGATGTCCTCGAACTGGAGGCTCATGTCCAGCAGCTTGGTCGCCTCGTCGGCGTCCGTGCCGTCGCCAATCACAACGGTGGCGCCCTCCTCGCCCGAGAGGCCTGGGGACCGGTGAGAAGGCATGAGTATCACAATCCAGAGCGCACCGGAGCGGAACACGCGCGGGGCGCTCTTGGAGGGGAATCATGTAGCACCCTCCCGCGTCGCCGCAACCGAACAGCTGCCTTGCGCGCGGAGCGTGCCGGGAGCTGAGCCGGAGGCGCCGCCAGGGGGGCCAAGCGCCGATCCAAGAAATCCGCGCGGGGCTCCGAGCGTTTCTGCTCATGCAATTTATCCTCTTTCGATGGGGAAAACAGGCGAGGCGCCCCCCGCTGTCACGACCGTCGCACCACCGTTCCCGGCCCGTCCCGGCTCCAGAGGGGCGAGCGCCGCCCAGATAGTGAGGCGCCCCCACGATCACGATCCCTCGGGCGCTGCAGCGGGCTTCTGCGCCCAGGGCTGCGACCCCTCGCCCAGGCAGAGTGGCCCCGCGATCCCCTCCAGAACATTGTGGCGGGCATCCACCTCCTCCCCCTCCTCCTCCTCCTCCTCCCTCCTCCCCCTCCTGCCAGGGCGAGCATGACAGCAGGGACAGGCTGGTGGCGGAGCACTGGCGCACCCTGGACAACATACATGCCGAGTTTCGTGGAGTACTTGGAAGGCGGGCTCCGCCTGAAGGCACAAGGCGACGGCGCAGGCTTGAACCAGACCCTCCAGCAGGCGCAGGTGCTGACCAGTGGCGAGGTGAAGCTGATGAAGGCAGCCATGTTTTGCCGAAGTCAGAGCGGGACGCCTCGGTGCTCCTCGAGCCGAGAGCGTCCCAAGTCGTCGCCACTAGTTCGCCGGACGCCTCGAATGGCCACGCTTTGCCAAGGTCAGAACCGGCAGCCTCGGTGCTCCTCGAGCCGAGTGCTGCCTCACGCGTCGCCACGTCGCCGGATCAAAACAAGCAGTCCAGCAAGAGAGGCACCTACAGCCTGCAGCCCAAGCTACAGAGGCCCGACGGACACCTGTTCCACGAGCGCATGGCGGTCAGCCCGACCCAGACGCTCATCAAGGCCTTAGAGGAGGTGGGGGACGACTGGGAGACCCTGCTGCCGACCCTCTACTGGATGGCGAACATAATCCAGACCAAGACTGAGGCTCTGAGCCAGTGGTGCTGGAAGCTGGTGGGCGCAGACATCCTGGCCTCTCACCGCCAAGATGCTCGAGATCAGTACCATCGCATTGCAGGAGACATACGCGACGCATGGGACAAGAGGCAAACGGACGTAGCGTTTGCACGGCTGAGGGGAATGGGCATTGGTTCTCAGAAGCGCATGATGAACAAGTGTCTCCCGTCGGTCAAGCTCCTCGACGGCACGTACGCCACGTCGCAGGCCCAGATGGGGAACAGGTGGCTCCAGCACTTCAGCCTGGTTGAGTTCGCGGCGGACGTTCCGATCGTGGACCTCCACAAGCTCATGCAGGCGCAGTTTGAGAAGGGAAGCCTGATGCCAGACGTACTCGACCCCAGCTGCGTCCCGACGTTGGCGGACATGGAGCGTGCGATGAAGATCACAAAGGACTCAGCGCCAGGGGTCGACGGCCTGATGGGGAAGCTCTTCCGCACACAGCCGAAAACACTGGCGGCGGCTTACCACCCACTGGCAACCAAGTTTGCCTGCACAGGAGTGGAGCCGGTACAATGGAAAGGAGGCTTCTACAGACACCACCACAAGAAAAAGCAGGCCGAAGAGTGCGGCAACCACAGGTGCTTCGCGGTCACGGCCATGGTGGGCAAAAGGGTGAGGCACTTCTACAGGTCAAAGGTGGCGGAGTACCTGCCACAAGCCGTTGGAGACCGCCAATTCGGAGGCGTCAGGCGCAGAGGCACTCAGCATGCGTCTGTGGTCACCAGGATGCTGCAGTCAGCGGCGTCCGCCAACATGCTGTCCTTCGCGGCTATCTTCATGGACGTCAAGAACGCATTCTACTCCATGGTCAGGGAGCTGGTGCTGCGCACGCCCATGGCCAAGGCAGACAAGGACGCGATCGCCGAGTCCACGGCCGTCCCGCCCACGGCCCTGGAGATCCTGAAGAAGAAGCTGGAGGAGGATATGCCGCTGCTCCACCGTACGGAGGCCAGTGAGCATCTCAAGGCATTGGTCGAGGAGCAGTACACGGCCTCATGGTTCGTCTGCGAGAGCTCAGACCACGTGGCCCTGGGTACCAAGTCCTCGATCCCAGGCCAACCCCTCGCCGACCAGATTTACGAGATCGCCATGGCGGAGGCCATCAGGATCTCAGAGGCGAGGATCGAGGAGGAGGGCTACGGCATCTTTGTCACAGGTGCCAACGTACGCTCGCTGGCGCAGCAGCTCGACAGCGACCTCGACTTCGAGAAGATACCAGGCCACAGCGTGGCCTTTGCGGACGACGGCACATTCTTCTTCATCGGCAAGGCTGAGGAGGCGATGGATGCGGTGGCAGTCATCGCGGGCATCGTCCTGGACACTTTCGCGGAGTTCGGCCTCGTCCTCAACCTGACCCTGGCAAATCGGAGGTGCTCTTTGCCTTCGCAGGCCAAGGGGCGAAGGGAGCGAGGAGGACCCTATGGCATGAGTGCCATGGAAGGGTCAAGCTCAGGTCGAAGCACTACGAGGGAGCCGTCATCCACGCAGTGCACAACCACGTGGCGCTGGGGACGGTCATCGACGACCACGGCGCGGTGTACCCAGAGCTCTACCGCCGCGCAGCCACCACTACAGCCGCTCTCAGGAAGCTGAGAGAGAAGGTCTTCCGCAGCCACCAGCTGGACCTGCCTACCAAGATGGTATTCGCTGACGCCCTGGTATGCTCGTCGAGGTGCTTCTCACAAGGCAGCTGGCCAGGACTCACGAGGGCGGAGGCCAAGTATCACCACGCCATGGTCATGGCAGTCTACAGGGCGGCGGCGGGGAAAAAGTTCGCCACCAAGGAGGACGGAGAGCTGGACCTCGACGCCTACCCAGAGGCGGAAGATGAGGCACTGCTTGCCAAGGTGGGAAGGGCTCGGCCGGAGGACCTGCTGAGAGTAGCAAGGCTAAGGCTTTTCGGCGAACTACTGCAAGCAGGACCACCCCTCGCTTTCGCGACGATGGCCCAGCTCCTCCTGCGGCCCCAGCATGCCAAGAGGCAGTCCTGGCCGCAGATGCTAATGGGGGACCTCCGCTGGCTGCAAGGCTACTCGGCGGACCTGCACGACCTCCCGGATCCCAGTGATGAGCTGAGGCCTTGGGAGATGATGATCATACGCTCGCACTCCTCGTGGAAGTACAGGCTCAACGACACGCTCAAGGCGGCGGCAGCACAGCTGAGCAGAGGTCACGCGGCGCGCATGGCAGAGAAGCGCTTCTTCGCCATAGTGCAGCCAGCGGGAGTGCCGTATTCCACAAGGGAAGGCAGCCCTTTCGGGCCCCCGCAGGCAGACGAGCCAGACACAGCGCCGACGAGACAATGGACATGCCCGTGGTGCCAGAGGACGTTCAGGCGACAGAGAGGGCTCAGAGTCCACATCTCACAGCAGCACTGGACCATGGTCAGGCTAGCACGTACCTGGACGGGTTCAACAACGCAGTGCCAAGGTTGCCTGACGCTGTTCGACCGGACCCACCACCTCACCGAGCACCTGGCGATTGCATCGCCTGCCTGCCTCGTCGCGACCATTGACGCGGGAGAGGCGCCTGGCAGTGAGGAGAGCGAGCTGCGCAACGAGCTCCCACGAGGACTGCTGAGGAAGAGAGTGAACATACCCGCGATCAAGGCAGCGGGGCCCTTGCCAGACGTGGTATCCCTCAGCCAAGAAGATGCAAAGAAGGTCCTGCTCGAGGCTGACTACGTGCTCGATGACGCTGCCAGGACCACGCTTCAGGAGGGCTCAGAAGAAAGACCCCAGGAGAAGACGGAAGTTCAGCACGACGAAAGGTACGACCTGAACCAGTTCCGCACCGACAAGTACAGCGGCATCACCACGGAGGTGAAGATACCGTGGAGGATACAAAGGGCAGAGATCTACGTACTCAACCTATTCTGCGGGCACAGGCGCAAGCAGGACATTCAACATGTGTTCGAGTCAGCGCCGAAGGTCGAAGTGATGTCGGAGAAGGTGCACATCATGGTCCTCAGCATCGACGTGGCGATCGACGCTCGGCGCTGCGACCTCATGCGACAGGACAGCCTGATGGTTTTCCACGAGGGGATCCTGAAGAGGCAGATCGTGATGACGGGAGGAGGACCTCCATGTGAGACATGGAGTGCGGCGAGATGGTCAGAGCAGCCGGGCCCACCGCCGCTCAGGTCCCACGACCAGTTCTGGGGAGTGGCGCACGCTGCACCACGGCAGAGGATCCAGCTGGCCGTGGGGAATGCCCTGATGCAGTCCATGGTGCTCCTCCTTGCGGCGCACCTGGTGGAAGGCACGGCAGGGTGGTCGGAGCACCCCATCCCGTGCAGCTGGCGGCTGGCGGCCGTCACATCGTGGACATGGGAGCCGTGGCTCGCGCTGCTGTCGGCGCCGTGCACCACGACCACGGACTTCGACCAGTGCGAGCACGGACAACTGAGCAAGGCCCCGACCAGAATTTTTGGGCTCCGCATGGCGGGGCTGCACAGTCGCCTGACTGCGACGCCTGGGGGAGGAAAATGCTCCCACGGGCGAGCGGCCCACGCCACTCTCCTAGGGCGCGAGGTAGGGTCCAGGGCCTTCCGGACCGCGCGGAAGAAGGTCTACCCCCCGGGCCTCTGCCGCAGCATCGCCGAGAGTATTCTGGAGACGCTCGAATCGGCTCTCGATGCTGCGCTCCCGGACGCGCCCAGGGACGAATCCCAGTCTCACCACCTCCTCGTGCAGGGCCTGGCGGATTTTTATGTCTCAGTGATCCCTACGTCGGAGGACGGGGCCAGGGAGTGGGCCCCTGATTTTGCGAAGGGAAAGGGCCGCAGCAGGCCTGACCCTGAGAAGGGCCGCTTTGAGGCCCCGGGCCCGCCTGGCCAGGACCCCCCAGGCCCCTCCCAGGATCCTGAAGACAGCCAGGGCCCCACTGAGGAGGAGGCCTACGCCGCTGAGGTGATCGGTCTCTCTCCCCTCCTCTGGTCCCCGACTCCGCCTCCGCCTCCGCCTCTCCCTCCTCGCCCCTCTCTTACCGACACCCAGCGGCGCAGGATTGCCGAGAATAAGGCCAGGGCCCAGCGGATACGGCAAGAGCGCCGTAGACCGTGGGCCTCTAGGGGCCTTGACCTGCGACTCGCGTGGGGAGCCCCAGAGGGCTGCCCCATGCAGGAGAGCCCCTGCGGGGCTCGGGCGGACTTGCCAAGGAGCGGGTCGGCCTGGGCCCAACAAATCTTCGGAAGGGCCTGACAACGGATCGGGCCCGCCACACCACCCTCCATCCGGCTACAGGCCGGGTCCGAGCCGGCCCACTATAAGGGCCACTGCACGTCGGTTCCGACAAGACGCAGAGTTCCACCACCACACCTCCTCCTCCTCTCCTCCTCCTCCTCCTCTTCCTCCTCCTCCTCCTCCTCTTCCTCCTCCTCCTCCTCCTCCTCCTCCTCCTCCTCCTCCTCCTCCTCCTCCTCCTCCTCCTCGCACCGCTCGGAGGCGCTGCCGCGCGCGCTCCTGCCGCGTGCTGCCGCTCCTGCCGCGTGCTCGCGCCGCTCGGGGCCTCCCTCTGTGGGGCCCCCTCTGGCGCCTCCCTCCAGACCGAATTCGGGGCCCACCGGGCCGCCCCCGGCATCTCTGAACCTTCGCTGGGGCCCTCCTTGCACTGCCTCGAATTAACGGGCGAAGAACGGTATCAAATAAATGTTTTCGCCGTCGGGGACACCTGCCCCTGGGCGGCTGGAAAGTTTATACCCCCACGGTGCCACCGTAGGGGTATAAACTTTCCAGCCGCCCTGGGGCAGATGTACCCGACGGCGAAAAAGTTTATTTTATACCGTTCTTCGCCCGTTAATCGAAGGTCTCTTCGGGGCGCTCCTGGGGGCATCCTCGGGGGCTTACAAAGGGGTGCGGCGTAGTTGCGCCCGCGAGGCGTGGACGGCCAAGTCAGAGCATACAACAGTGCCACCTCCGCGGCCGGGGAGCGGGGGGAAGGACGCCACAGCGGCAGGGCCATCGCGGGCAGGGAGCGAGGCCGTCGCCGCCGAAGCAGCCCAGAGGCCCCAAGAGCGGGAGCCCGCGCGGACCCGGCGTGCCGGCCCAGACTTGGGAACCCCCAAACCGGGTGGTGAGATACCAGGTGGCGACCTGGAATCCCCCAGAAAGGTCACCGCTGGGTTTGGGGACACGGGTCACCACTGGCTTTTGTGACTCCTGGACCCACCAATGTTCGGGACATCCTCGGAACACCGCACGAGTCCCCAAACCGGGTGGTGACACCAAATCGCCCGAGACTCACCGCCAGGTGTTGTCACCACCACGTTTGGGGACTACCAACAGACACTCCAAGAGTCGAGGGCGGGGCGGCCCTCGGGGAAGGAGCCAAGGCACCACGCCAGGGCAGAGCCCGCTCCGCCCCCCCACGCAGCAAGGCTCGTGCCGTGACGACGACGCCCCGTACGCGCTGATCTTTCTCGAGGGGGGGCCGGACGCCGGGAGGGGCGGAGAGGCCGATACAGTAGGAGCTCGACCACGAGAAACCTTCCACGAGAAACCCAACCCCGGAACCCCAGCGCGTCCATCGATTTCTGGTGTGGAAACGTCACGCTTTCCATAGCAAGGCCATCGAGACCCAAGAAACCCAGGGCACCCTGGAGGCAAGCAGGGCGTTTCTTGGCATGGGTTTCCAGAGGGTTTCTGGGCGGAATGGGCTATCAGAAATCGGCGATCATTGGGCGGTTCGGGGTCGATGCATCCCCTCCTGATCCGTTCCCCCCCCTAAAATTGCCCCTGATCTCAAACAACGCCCGGATCGCTGGGCGCGGAACTGGCCCGACACCGAGCAATCCGCGCGGCCGGAAACCGCTTTCCGGCAGCACGGATCGCTCGCCGACTCCAAGCCAAGAACCGCGTTCAAGCTCGGACGCCTGCACCAGGGTCGCCGAGGCGCCAACGGCTGCGCGAATCTGCCACACTGGCGCCCGCTCCTTCTTTCGGGGGCCGCGGGTGCAAGGCGGAGAGTTACCCTAAGTCGGGCCTGTCCCCCTGCAGGGGGATTTTTCGACGAAAAATAAGAAATACCCCGAAAGTAGTCGAAAAATAATCAAAAAATAGTCTGGGGACTACGTTTGGAATATTTGTGTTGCCTTTCTGATGTATTTTTGGGGGATCTTTTATTTGTCGTCGAAATTCCCCCTGTATGGGGGACACGCCCGACTTAGAGTTACCCATGACCACGGCCTCGGGGATCGACCTTCGGGGACCTCGAAGGCGGTGAATATGGCTACGTGTGGCCCGCCCAGGGCCCGAATACTACGTGCTCGTTCTGGGGCCCTTCCCGGAGCCACTCGCTCCTCTCGTGTGGCGATGCCACGCCGAACGACCGTCGACTTGAGCCGACCTCGAGCCGACCTTGAGACGAACTCGAATCGAACTTGAGTCGAGCCAGAGCCGAGCCAGAGTCGAACGGATCCGCTAGGTAGGCCATGGTGGGCCCCGGCGAGGTCTCTGGAGCAGATGTCTGACCACGCGGTGGTCACGAACAAGTCCACGCCTCGGAAAAGGGCCGCCACTCGCCCCCAGCCTGGCTGAGGGGCAGCGTTAGGGGGGGAAGCTCAGGGGGGTAAGCATCCACCTGGAACCGGCGATACATCGCCGATAGATCAGCGATAGGCCTCCGATAGCGAAGGCGGCCATTCCTGGGCGGGGCGTGCTATCGGGCCACCATCGGCGATCAATGTCGGTGGTTCAAAGATGGGGTCCAGAGGGATAGCGCCCCAAGGACGAGGTGCCTGAAACAATGTACAGTCGGGGCGTTGACCCAAGGAACCCTAAATAAGGAACGAGGCCCCTTTTTCCCATACGTTAAACTTCGATTCCCCATCGAAAACCTAGGGAAAACCTGAGGCAAGCTGTGAAACTACCAAGAAACACGGAGCCCCTGCCCAACGAAAAGGGTTCCTCAAAGACGAGGTGCCTCAAACAGTGTGGATCCAATCTTGGATCTCCATCCCTCAGGGCCCCCCATCCCTCAGGGCCCCACCTAGTGAACCTCCGGCAGTGGGTTGTTGGGCGGCCGAGGCATCTCCCCCCCGTGAGCTTTCCACGATGCCCCTGATCGCCCATCCGTCCGTTACCAGCCTCGAACGTATCCCTATCCCTAAGGTTGACACGCCAAAAGGCGATGACAATCTTATGGATTCGCCCTCAAGAAATAAGGGAATCCCTAAGATTGGCATCGCGATGAGGAGGTGCCCCAGCATAGGGACAGGGATATGCTCCAGGCTGGTAAAAGTCTGTGGTCTTTGAAATGAAGGAAGGGGGGGGGCGGCTTTCCGACCCCCCGACCGCGCGCCACGGGCGAGCCCCGCGGTGCCCCGCCGGCCATGAACTTCACCAGCTCCTCCTCCAAGTTCTCGAATCCGGGAGGCAGGCCCACGTCGACCTCGCCGTAGCTCGCCATCGGCACCAAACCGAAGCGTCGGAGCGGGCGCTGGACTGCGCGTCCGAACCCTGGCGCCGGGCCCTGGGAGGGAGGGGGGTCGGGAGGGGGGTCGGGAGGGGAAGAGGAAGGGCAGGGGGGCGGGAAGAGGAAAGGGGGGGGGAGGGAGGAGCACGACGACGACGGGGGGCGGAGGGGGGGAGGAATGCCAGAGGAGGGAAGGGGAGGGGGTGGAGGGCGGAGGAGGACGCGGGGAGGAAGGGAAGGGGAGGGGAGGGGAGGGGCAGCGGAGGACAGCGGACCAAAGCAGGAGAGGACGAGGAGGCCAGCCTGCCCACGCCCGCCCCACGCCACCGCCAGCCGCGCCGCGCGCGGGCGCCGCCGGAGCGGCCTGGAGCCCAAACGGCTGGAGCATCGAGGGGGCACGGAGCCGTCGGGCCGGGCTCGGGGCTGCTCCCGCACGGGCCGGAGCAGCGCGGCGGCCGAAGAGCTCGGGGCAGGGACCTCGCGGGGACCACGGAGGGGCTGCGCGGGGAGCGCGGGGACCGCGGAGGTGCCACGGAGGGACCACAGAGGGACCGAGGCGGGATCGCGGAGGAGGGACCGCGCAGAGGCCAAGAACGAACCACGAAGGGACCACGCAGGGACCATGCAGAGACACTGGAGGGACCAGAGACGGACCGCGAAGGAGGAAGACGCAGGGACCACGAAGAAACCACGCAGATACCACGAGTAGACCACTAAGGGACCACGGAGGGACCAAGGAGGGACCACGCAGGGAACACGCAGGGACCATGCAAGGTCCACGAAATAATTACGAAGGGACAGCGCACGGGCCACGCACCATGCTTACTTAGCTGTGGTAACTTCATCAGGGGGTCGCCCCGGCCCCTCCTGCACCAGCCGTCTGCGCGCAACTTTATGCGGGCAGGGCTAGGTGCGCTCGCATCATATCTGACATCCTACCCCCCTACCTTCCATCCCTTACCATTACGAAGAGTTTCTCTCTGTTCGCACAATCGAATGCCGAGCAGGGCAATGATCCCGAGAGGGTGCGCGATGCATCGTAGAGCACGACATAGCAGGGCGTAGAAGAGAACGGCAGAGCGTAGTCTGTCATAGCATGGCGTGGCGTGGCGTGGCGAAGAATTGCATCACAGAGCATTGCAACGCAAATAATGGGCATCGCACAGCGGCACATAACAGAACATGGTATAGCATGGCGTTGAAGGTCAAAGCGTAGCATGGCATAGCATGGCGTGGCACTGCGTAGTCAAGCACTGCGCATCCTAGCATTGCAACTGAAGTCATGGCATCACACAGCGGAACACCACATAGCTTTGCATTGCATGACGTGGCATGGCACTGGAAATAATGACGCCAGCGCTGCAGCTGGAGCACGATTCGGAACGAGCGGGAGGGCGGAAATGAGGCCAGCGCTGCAGCGGGAGCTCGATTCGGAACGAGCGGAAACGCGGAACCGAGGCCAACGCTGCAGCGGGAGCAGGATTCGGAACGAGCGGAAGGCCGAAAATTAGGCCAGCGCTTCAGCGGGAGCAACACTGTGAAAAAAAACCCAAGCGAAAACCCAACTCACGGGAATCCTGTGTAGAAACAATACGCGAAGGGGGCCGAACATCTTCCGGACGTCATCAGGGGAGATCAGAGAGTAGTATTCAATGTGTGTAGTTGCAGTCGCGGGCAAGATTTATCCCACCAGCCCTTCGGGCTCAGGTGGTCTTACGATAGATGTCGTTCGTATTATACAAATATCTTCCCTTCCCAAAAATGTCCCACCCCCATCCTCCCTGACAATTTTCGGGGCGAGCCACGAATCGTTAGAGTAGCCACGATTGCCAAGATAAAAAAAAAACGCCCAAGAGTTCTGAAAAGCGTTAGAGCGTCGTGAAGGTTCGTTCGTGGCCCCGATATTCTGGACGTGGCCGTCTTAGTACATGTGGCTACATTCCACTGGGTGGCGGTAATATTCGGATTGAAGTCGGCCCCTTCAAGCTTTGGAGCGTCTTCTTCATTTCCGTCAATGTCAGGAGTGGCGAGGAAAGTGTTTATTACACATACACTCGTGCAACACCTCTCGGTTGCAGCACCATGTGATACGCTCCAACGAGTCGGTCACGGCGTTCCAGCAATCATACTAGTCCCATGTGGGGCACGTTTTCATGAACCGATGGTATATTGCGTCATTGCGGTATGGCCGATGCCAGCATGTCGTTGACAATCAATTCAGAAAATTCTGACGTCGTATACTGGTCCAGCACCATGATTGCAGGAATGCCAACCGTCTTCGGCACTCAGCCGGATGAGCAAGCGGACGGGGTGGACCTTCGGAGCGGCGACGATCGAATGGACGTGAACGAGCTCGACTTGGCGGTCTAGGTGCGTCCAAGAGGGGGTTCGCAAATCATGGCGCGAAGTACGTACGCGGCCAAGAGGCGGCCAAAGAACGCACTGACATCATAAGAGAGAAGGGAAAATCCAATCTGGAAGTATTGCATGGTCCAGGCCATGATATCCCGGCCCCTCTCGTCATCACCGCTCTTCTTAGCCGCCCCGGAGAAGCACGAAAGGCGCGGCCACCGCGCCCCCCCCCCTTCGAAAAACCATGCAGAAGAAGATGTGAATGGTGATTCGTTGTCTTCGTGCGCCATCATTGGTCTCTCATGGCACCGTGGCCCACATAACCATCGAATATGCAACCTTGGAAGCAGCACCGCGATACGGCTAGCGAGGCAAATTGTTCAAATCAGGCCGAGCCAAAAAGTCGAGTCTCACTGGCCCTTTCTGCGCGATTCAAGAGTTTATTTGTCTTTCCCCCTCTTTCTCTCGGGGGCGAGGCCTACCTCTCCCCCTACCCCCTCTCCCTTGGTCGCGCATGCTCCTACACTTCCCAGATCAGGCCAAACTGCCTGGGCATTGCTTCTGGATGGGCTGGTCACGATGCACATTTTTGTTATGCGGCCCGCGAGGAAAAGTCCAGAGGGCGTGTCAATCAGGCAAACTGGGGCACAGAGCCAGATAATTCGTGCACACGCAGAACACATTCGGGAAAACGAGCAGACGAGCCGCGCGTAGAGACGCTGCACCAGCACAAGGACGCCAGGCGCCAAGCAGGGCGACGGAAAAACGGCGGGGGAGGAAGAGCAAGGCGACGGAAGAACGAAGAAGGGGGGGAAAAACGGGTGGTCCCACTCACGGGGCACCATGTGCTCGCCGGCGAGCCGGCACAGGTCCAACCACAGGTGGACACCACATCACCGTGCCCAGTGTCAGTCAGATCGGCAACGCCGGGGGGAAACGTCGGCCAGGGGAAGCGCGAACCTGGCACAGTATGCACCACATGAACTGGAAGTCGTACTCCAGGGCGACGGCGCTGAAAAGAGGAACGGCCAAGACGTGGAAAGGCCGGGCCTGCCATATGCCACTGGCCGAAAGCCCCCACCATCCAAGGCGAGCACAGCACCAGCACGCAGTGTGAGCGGGAAGCACCTCATCCCCAAGAGGTCCTAAGGTATTGGCCAGAGCCACGCTGCACGGTGTCGTCACCCCTCAAAAGCCGTCGGTGGCGTCAGGGGGGGAGGAGAGGAGGCGCAGCCTATAGCCGCAGAACATTTGACTACATGGAGAGGAGGCGTCGGATGCTAACGCCTCCAGACGAGGACCCAACACGTGAAGTCGGTGTGTCGTTGGCGCGTGGCGCCGTCGTGGGGGGTAGAAGCCACGAGGGCAAGGCCGCCGAACTTCGGGAGTGTGGAGCGCATGGGGGGGGCCTTCGGCTTGCCGCCACGGCCATCCAAAGAGAGCGCCCCAGTGGGCGACACGGGCCCGTGTACCTGTGAGGCCAAAGAAGGCCGTGGGCAGGGTTATCGCAGCCAGACCGCACGGGCTAAGAGCCCACGGAGTACCGTGGGGGTCTAAGCGCAGTGTGAGTGTGCACCTCGCTCCCAGGAGGTAGCACGTGTATTAAGGCCGGGGCCTGCCACTGCGGTGAAACGAACCCCCTTCATGAAGGGACTGCCCACGACCGTTGCGGCCCGTGGGGGGCCATCCGTCCCCGGCGTCATCCCCTCACCCGAAGCTTGCCTGTGGGCAGCCAAGGGACTTACGATGAACATGGTGGCCCCTGCCTGTGTGGAGCAGGTCTTGTGAACGTCGCGCGTCGTCGGTCAGTCACCACAGTCGTCGGGGGGGGGTCAGGAGGGAGGGGAGGAAGGCGCAGCCGATAACCGCAGAACGTTCGAATAAGTGGGGGGGGAGGAGCCAGAGGCTGGCACCGTTGTTGAGGACCCAACACGCGTGGTCGGTATGTCGTCGGCGTGTGGCGCCGCCTGGTGGGGGAACGTCAACAGCGCGGGGCAGTCGGACGTCTAGGGTGCGGAGCGCCTGGGGGGGGCCTTAGGCCAGCCGCCTTGCCGTCCAAGGTGTGCGCCCTGGCGGGCGAATCAGCTCATGTCCTCGTGAACAAGGCCAGAGTGAACCGTGGGCAGGATTATTGCAACAATACCACACGAGCTACGGGCCCACGAAGACCTGTGGAAGTCTATACGCAGTGTGAGTTGTGCACCTCACTCCCAGGAGGTGACACGGGTATTAAGGTTGCTGCCTGTCACTGCGGTGAAACGATCCCCCCTTGGTCACGGTACAACTCTTGGTCGATGTGGCCCGGGGGGGTCTTCCGTCCGCGCCATCTGGTCCTCACCAGTTGCGTGTCTGTGGGCCGCAAAGGGGCGCTCGAGGACCATGGGGCTGCCGACCCATTGGGCCCCGCATGGCACGTCGAGGGCCCATATGGCTCACAGGGTCAGCGCGATGGATGCCACTCTGTATAGTTTGGTGGAAGCTGCACCCAGCTGACCGAGGTCGTTGTCCTCAAGAAAGCACGCGTTGCGCTCCGAGACAGGCTGAGTGGCAACACGGAGTATCGACATGAACGGGGGGAAGGTGGGCAAAGCCGCGGCCCGGGGTTCCGTGAGTGGGGTTCCGTGAGCGGTCAGGATATACGCGGAGCGCCAAGAATCCCTGGAAGAAGGTGGTCGAACGAGTTCTTGGTTGCCTCTTCCATAACCCCCTTCTTCCCTTGGTGGCAAGGCGAGCCCAGAAACTTGTCGAGGCGAAACATGAACATCTCAAACGAAACCAAAAATGCCGGAAGGAGCGAAATCCGAAAACTCCTCACGCCTGGAACCCGAAAACCCAAGGGAAATCAAACCCGAATCTACGCATGCGAAAGACCCAGCCGCATGCAATTGTGAATACGGAGTTGTGGGTCCCGCTTTCTTTGGAGCTCCTTATGAAGCCACGAAACATGCTAGGTGTGTGCCGTACTGAGTGGGGGAGACGCGCGCGGCCGCGGTCACTGGGGTCTTCGGCGGAGCTTCCTTAGGAGCCACGAAGCAATGTACTGGGTGGGGGAGATGCATGCGGCCGCGGTCAGTAGAGTCTTCGGTGGAGCTCCCGATGGGGCAACGAAACAGTGTACTGGGCGTGGGCGACGCATGCGGTCGCGGCTACTGGGGCCTTCAGTCGAGTTCCGTATGGGGCCACGTACCGTTGCACTGTGTGGGGAACGCATGCGGTCGCGGCCACTGGGGTCCTCGGTGAAGCTTCCTGGCGGGCCACGAGACGGTGTACTGGCCGGAGGAAACGCATGCGAACGTCGCCTTTGGCGTTTTCGGCGGAGCTTCCTATGGGACCACGGAGTGCAGTACTGGGTGGGGGAAGCGCGTGAGGGCGTCGGCCCTGGGCTCTGGGAGTCCCCTAGGGGGCAGCGAAACGGTTTACTGAGCGGGAGAAATGCATGTGAACGTCGCCTCTGGGGCCTTTGGTGGAGCTCCTGATGGGCCACGAAACGATGTACTGCGTAAAGGCAACGCATGCGAGCGTCGCCTTTGAAGCCTTCGGTGAAGCTCCCTTTATGGGGCCACGACGCGTTGTATTGGGCGGGGGAAACGCATGCGAACGTCGCCATTGGGGCCTTCGGTGGAGCTCCTTATGGGGCTACGAAGCGCCGTACTGGGTGGCGGGGGTGCATGCGAACACCGCCTCTGGGCCTTCGGTGGAGCTCCCTAAGGGGCCGCGAAACGCGAACGTCTCCTCTGGGGCCTTCGGTGAAGCCCCCTATGGGGCCACAAACGTGCAAAGAATGTACCGAATGTGGCGGCGGGGACACATGCGAACACCGCCACTGGGGCCTTCGGTGGAGTTCCCAATTGGCCACGAACCGTGTGAGGGGTGTGCCGAATCGGGCGTGGGCCCGCCTGCGAACACCGCCACTGGCGCCTTCGGTGGAGCTCCCTATGGGGCCACGAAACGTGTGAGGGGTGTCCCGGATCGTGTGCGGGGACGCATGCGAACACCGCCACTGGCGCCTTCGGTGGAGCTCCATAGGGGGCCATGAAACGTGCGAAAAGGTGTCCTGAATCGTGTGCGCAGAAGAATGCGAACAACGCCACTGGGGCCTTCGGTGGAGCTCCCTATGGGGCTTAGAAACGTGTTAGGTGTGTCCCAAATCGGTTGGCGGGGACGCATGCGAACACCGCCACTGGGGCCCTCGGTGGAGCCCCCTATGGGGCCACGAAACGTGTGAGGGGTGTCCCGGATCGTGTGCGGGGAAGCATGCGAACACCGCCACTGGCGCCTTCGGTGGAGCTCCATAGGGGGCCATGAAACGTGCGAAAGGTGTCCCGGATCGTGTGCGGGGAAGCATGCGAACACCGCCACTGGCGCCTTCGGTGGAGCTCCATAAGGGGCCACGAAGGTGCACAAGGTGTGCCAGATCGGCTGGCGGAAACGCATGCGAACACCGCCACTGGGGCCCTCGGTGGAGCTCCATATGGGGCCGCAAAACGTGTGAGGGGTGTCCCTAATCGGTTGGCGGGGACGCATGCGAACACCGCCTCTGGTGCCTCCGGTGGAGCTCCCTATGGGACCGCGAAACGTGTGAGGGGTGTGCCAACATGGGAGGAAGTCAGGGGAGGAGGGAGGGACGGGAGGAGGAAGGTGAGGTGAGGTGGGACGCGGGGCGCTGTCTCTTCAAACCAGGGACCCAACGCCACAGGATGGTTGGGAAATCCGCCGCCCCCTTCAATTTGACCCCCCACCTGGCCCGGGACTGTCCACCCCCGAACTCACCAAGGGGGTCCGGCCCTCACCGGGCTCGCTCTGAAGCTCCAAGACAGCTCCTAAGGCAGGCGACGACAGATGAACGATGATGACGACGCACGGCGACGACGTCGACGGGGGGCCAGCGATGTGAGGCCCACGAATATCGACGACCGACGATGACAACAGTCAGCGGCGATCGGCGGTCCGCTTTCGACGATTAGCGGTTGACGACGAGGATAGGCGACCGACGGTCGACGATCGCCGAGGATGGCGTCGTCGGCGATCGACGGTGGCGACGACGAAGACGATGGGCGATCGACCACGGACGACCGACCATTGACGACGGCGATAGCAGCTCGCTCAAGGGCCATGGGCCCGCGAAGGATCACACTGGGACCTCCACGCCGATATTGTTTGCGACCTCAGAACTGGCCCCCGCCATGTGGGCCTCCTGGGGGGCTGGGAGCGGCTGGGAAGAGCGTGGTAGTGTTCTGGGGTCCGTCGCGCCTCGGGTCGAGATCGGGGCGCTCGCCGACCCGCGTGGGGGTGCCCGGGGACTTCTTTTCTGACAAGCCTCGGCGCGCCGTCTCGCCACAGTCGGAGACTTGGGGTCGAATCGCGTCGCCGCCAGAGGTTGACGGCAGCGGCGAACGAAGGCGACGAACGGGGACGACGGCGACGACAACGGACGTCTACGGCGAGGGCGGTAACAAAGACGAAATCGACGAGGACGATGAGGGGTGAACAATTGATAGCGAAACACGCTGTCCCTCGCAGCCCCGCGCTCTTGGGGTGCCTGAAGCTCCGAATATGGATTTCTGCACGTCGCCTTGGTCCTCGTACCTGTCATCGATTTCTGACGACGACGACGACCGCGACCCGCCCCTCGGCCCCAAACGGCGACGAAACGGCATTCGAAACGACGCGACGAGTCTGTAAGGTTCTGGGTTGCTGAGATGAAAGCACGTGGTGGGACAATTTACGAGATAAGCTATACGCCAACTTCGACGGCGACGGCAACAATGCCAACGGGGGAGGGCGACACACATCATTGGACAAAATCCGAGAGTTGCGACTGTAGTTGCATGGGGCGCAGGCGCGCGGCCCCCTTGAAAAATCCACGTCCCTCGCTCCATTCCATCCGCATCGCAAACCTTTGAGTTCGTCCGACCACGCGGTTTCACCTTTTCTTTCCTTGGCGGGTCGAGTGTCACCCGCGGGCAGAGAAGGCAACCTGCATGTTTCATGTGTTTCCCAGGCTCTGCCGAAGGAAGAGTCCCGAATGTGTCCGTTGGCCTCCGTGGGGGCCTTCGTTCCCCCCGCTGCCAGGCGACGGACCCTCGACGACCTGAGCAGCTGGGGGCGTTGCGGTCCCCCCTCCCCCCCCCCTGCGGCCCAAAGAAGCACCAACCCCTGGGCCTCTTTCGCGTGGTGCTGCTCCTCCCCAGCATGAACTCCCTTTTTCGCTCAGTCCGAGCTCCCACCATTCCCCCCCTCCCGCCCGTGCCTAGCGCGGGCAGGCCGCCGCGTCTGGGTCGGATTCGCCCTTCGGGGGGGGGAGCGAATGAGCAACGCACCGGCAATGTGGGCAAAATCGGAGGAGGGGTGGGCGTTGCGAAAAACCACAAGGCTCTGGCTACAGCAGCGCGGCAACACCACCGCTGTTTTTGGAGCCTTCCGCGTGGCGGAATGTGTGTGGTGCCAATTGGCTACCATGCGCCGCGCTAGACCACCTCCTACGCTCTTGCAAACATCCCACCCATTCACCCGCAACTTGGTTAGCTAACCCATGCGGAAACAATTGCGATGAGTGCTTGGCATTGGCTGGTGCATCTCTGCGGCCGGGCCAACACAAGCACACGCGCGCAGCGGCCAGCTAGTTTGGCGCGACCGACGCGGCCGCGGCGGCGCTGACTTCTGGGCAATTCCGGGCAGTTCGGTGCGACTCTGTGACTTAGGCGGGCGCGGTATCATGGCAACGTCGACAACGGTATACACGATGATGATAGTAGCGTTGCTGGTGGCGATGTTGACGACGACGGCGGCAAGGCCAAGACAGCGCCGATGCTGATCACGCCAGCGACGATGACGGCGTCCTCGCGTCGATGATAAAAATTTGGAATGAATTCGAAATTCGCGCGCGGCCGACGTGCGAGAGTAGCCCCCATGGTATTATTTGACACGCATCGCGCCCGCCCCCCAGCACGCGCACCAGGGCGTTCGGATGATTTCGGCATGCGGCGCGAGAGGCCCGCTTGGCAGAATCCAATGAACACGGCGAAGGAGAAACAAACATGGCTTTCATGAGGATTCACAAGAGTGCGAGCGCACGCTTTTTTGAACAGTGATGTTGCGAAAACATGTGGTTTGATATGTGTGTGTTGGACATTCGGTTTTGAGATCGCTACGAAACCGAAGATTTGTTGACGGAGTGCGACATGCGCGCGACGGGGCGCGCGCGTGCACTTCGTCATGTTTTCTTGCGTGAAGGATTCGTGAAAATGATGATTGCTCATGAGCGAATGCGCGCGCAGATTTCTGTCGCAGGGGATGGCCTGGGGGTGGGGTGCCAGCTCGGCGGGGATGGCTCGAATTCATAATTCGGATGGACAGCGGGGCATAACCACATGTAAGTTGCAACGCTCAAAAGGAGGCGGGTAATCCCCAGGGGTGAAACCGACGCGGCGCAGTCTACGTTGAGCAATCTACGCGTGGCAATCTACATGGCGCAATTCATGTGGCGCCATCTACGCGGTGCACTTCGTCGATGGCACTCGCAGGTGTCAACTCCGCTGTTCGCGCAATCACCCCGCCCACCCAAGTGTGACTTGGCGCGCAAAACCCATGCGGCAGCGATTGCGATGAGCGCTTGGCATTGGCTGGTGCATCTCTGCGGCCGCGCTAGCCCGCGCACGCTCGCGCGCGCGTCGGCCAATTAGTTTGGCGGGGCCGACGCGGCCGCAGTGGCGCTGGACCCCGGGCAATTCCCAGCGGGAACTTCAGTGCGAGTCGGACACTTGGGCGGGCGCGGCATCGCGGCCGCGTCGACAACATCAGACGCGACGATGGCAGTCGCGACGCTGGCGACGATCACGACAACGGCGACGGCACGGCCAGCGACGGCGCCGATGCTGATCATGCCGACGACGACGGTGGCGCCCTCGCGTCGGCGATGAAGGTTTCGGAAGGAGTTCGACGCGCGCGCGGCCGACGCGCGAAAGTGGGCCGCGCTGCTTCTTCCGACGCGCACCGCGCCCCCCAGCGCACGCACTGGGGCGTTCGATTGATGTCGACATGGGGCGCCGAAGGCACGATTGGTCACATTTACTGAACATTATGATAACCGGCTGTTGTCTTGAAAGTTCGCAAGAGCGCGAACAATGTTTGACTGTTTAGGAATTGATGCCCTAAACAATGTTTACACCTGTTTTCGGGGCGCTCGATCACGACATCCCCGCGACACCTCAGGCGTTGGAAGGGCTTCGGCGCGCGCGCGCAATGTCGACCTGCGCGCGATGGGCCCACGTCAGACAACCTAGAGCGCGACCGCAGACTGTTCTTGCATACTCTCGTCGCGAAACAATGCGTTGATAATTGTATCCGGGGCGCTCGATTTTGATATCCTTGCGCAACTCAGGGCTCCTAAAGGATTTCGGCGCGCGCGCGCGACGACGCGCGCGCCCTTCGCCCCGTCTGGCGCAGGGGACCCCTGATAGCTTGTGACCTTTGGTCGACGAACGCGCGCGCATGGCATTTTGGAACGAGGAATGAGGAGGCGGGGGGGGTGGGGGGGGGGGGCGTCGCCAGTTTGGCCCAGATGATAACAGCGCATAATGAGGATATAGACGATGGCCATAATCAGATGCAAATCGATCGCGATGCGAAGGTGGCGCGGATAAATCCAAGGCGTTGATCTTAACACTCATTCAGAAAAGAGAATGCGGCGCCGTCTGTGTGGGGCAGGAAAAGTAAGGCGGAAACGATTGCGAGGGCGAAAAAAACAAACGTCGATGGGACAACGGCGAGGGGGCGGAATGAGGGGGGCTTTTTGCCCCGCAGCTGTTGACTGGGAGGCTCCGCGCCCGATCCCATATCGTCCATTTGTTCCTGCAGCCGCTGCGCAGGGAACCCTGCCCCCGCCTCGAGCGCGCCCCCCAAGGAGGAACTGCCCCCTGCGCCTCCGGCCCCAACCGCGCCCTGCGCTGTGCCGACGTTGCGGCATCGGTCGCGCAAATGGTCGCGCTCTGCGATCAGCAGATTACAAACGACGTGAAACGTTGACATCTCGGAGCAAAGGCTCGCGAAGATGATCTCGACGGCGGCGGGGGCGGCGCCCCGGCGCGCCGCGGGGGTCGCGCTCGCTGCTGCGAGGCGCGTCGGCGGCAGCAAGACGACTCTCACCGGCCGCCGATTCGTCGCGATGGCCACTCGGGCGAAGGTCGCCGCGGCCCCTCCGAACGCGCCCCCGCGGAATCACGCGGCCTCGCCAGCGTCGCCGGCGCCTGCCGCCAGCCCGCCCGGGGGCAGCAGCTCCGCTGCAGCGGCGGCTTCCCCGGCGCCACCTGCGTGCGACGAGGCGGCCGGCGCGGTCGCAGGCAGGAGCCGCGCGCGTCGGCGCGGCGACCAGGGCGGCGCGGCTGCTGGCGGGCCCCGTCAGCTTGGGCAGGACTGCATCCACCCCGACTCTCTATGTGGAACGTTTCGGGGCGCAAGGAAAGCGACCTTGCATGATGGCATTTTAACCGACATGGAAGGCAGTGTAAGTTGAGAGAATGGCAACATGGTAAGTTACCTTGCATGTCGGTATTTCTACCAACATGTCAAGTTCTATTGGCAGTCGTTGATGCACCGGAACAAATGGTTCGACGTGAGCGCCCCGCTACCATTCCGGCACATGCGCGGTTGTCCCAGACTTGAAAAAGTTGTGCTTGTGTTTTCGTTGTTTTTTCAGCGATCGACCGAACCTCAGTGTGATGGCGGCCAATCAGCGCAATCAAAAAAATCTCATTATTCCCCCATCTCTTTTCTAATCAGTTTTCTTTCCCCGTTTTCGTATTATCATATTCTGTTTCCTCATCGCCCCCCTCCTCCTTCTTTCCCCCCCCGCCTCCTCCGCCCCCCCCCCCATCCCCCCCCTCGCCTTTCTCGCCGCCCACGTCGGGACACTGCGAGCAGCGCGACGCGGCGCAGCGGGGCTAGCGCGCCAGAGGGGGGGGGGGGGGACCTTGGGGCAGGCGGAGTTGAGATCCATAACCCTGACATATCGTCGAGGCCGCGGGGCTGGCGGAGTTGCGAGCGCCAGCCCTAAAATATGTTCGGGGCTGTGGGCCCGGCGGAACTGAGAGCGACAACTCCGGCATATCTTCGGGGCTCTTGGGCAAGCGAGTTGAAGGGAGAGAACCCCCACAGCAGAAAAACAACCGCGCTTATGTGCCTCATTACTGGCGATGCGCGTTCCGGCCAACATGCTCTGGTCACCTACGCCATGACGTGCTCATTGGTCTTGTATTTGCACTGTGTTGCGCGTGCTGTTGCGCTTTGTGTTCATGCATTTTCAACCAGTTAACGCGACGGTGCAATGCGCATCCTCGCGCTCGACGATCTCTAACGCGTTCTTGCAGCAGCCCCGGGATGCCACGAAAAGCTAGCAATATTTGTGAATAGCTCGTGAGTGCGAGGCCACGGCTGCCACTCCAGGAGGCGGCCTGGCCACAGTCACCATTCGAAGAGGAGGGCGAGGAAGAGGGGGGGGGGGGGGAGAGGAGGAGGAGGAGGAGCAGCAGCAGGAGAAACAGGAGGAAGAAAAGGAGGAGCAGTAGGAGGAGGGGGAAGAGGAGGGGGCAGAGGAGGAGGAGGAGGAACAAGAGGAGGAGGAGTTGGAGGAGCTAGAGCAGGAGGAGGAGAAGGAGGAAGCGGGAGAGGAGAAGGGAGCAGGACGAACAGGAGAAGACCATTCTGTTGCATTATGCAATGGCCTTGGCTCAGAACAAAAACCACTTGCGCTTTCTGATACGACGCCGCGGCGCAATCCTGCCCCTGCGGAAAACTCCCCTTGCATGGGAGTTCGTGAGGCCGAAAAGCCACCTCTTCAACGCAGTTCGGCTGCTGGTTGCTGGATGCGTTTTTCCTGCAATCCTAGAAATCATGCCTACAAAGCTCTCGTGCTTGCACACCCAAGACGCGCGAGGATTCATCTTACACCGGTGAGCCCCCCCGAGGCCTTCCTCCCAAGCATGATGTTTGGGTTTCATTTGATAGCGCAGCTTGCCCCAAAGGCCATGCAGTTCAGCCGAGAGGGCCCAGGACCTCAAACACATCATTCCGTCGTTCAAAATCTTGCTGGCTTGCTCATCGGCAAAGGTCGGCCCCGCGGCATGCATGACATTCTGGACACCGCCCCAACCCAATAACGCATTCCTGAGAAGGAGATCTCCCTGCAAATCCAACCCAGGCTCAGATTCGAAGTAATGCGCCAGAAACTTGCAGACCACAGCAGTATTATGAGCTTTCCCCTTGAACTCTGGCCATTGATTGTTTCGCGAACCTACTGATAACCGTGGAAGTGGGAACTCACGCTCCGAATGTTGTACACCATTTCTGATGGACCACTCAACAAACTGATGATGAATCAAACGCAACGCCGATTCCATCCTGTTGGCCCACGACCCTGCAACACCTTGCGATTTCAGTTCTGCAGCGCGGACAAGAGCATTCCCAGCGAGCCACGAAGCGACCCCGAGGTGATCACAATGAAGGAAATCAACAGTCACCATCTCCAATGTAAAACCCAATATGTTTGTCAGCGGTGGCGGCGTCGCCCCTGCGAAAGAGGCCAAGTACTCAGCAAAAGATCTGCGTCCTCGCCGTCTCCAAGCGCCGCGCCTGAAATCTCCAAAATAGAAAGGTCCCCTGTTTTTTGAAGCCTTGCAGAGATAGCAACACGAATTCTTCCCATGCCAATATGGCATATCGAACGCTTCCTTCGCGCACTTCTGATCAGCTAAAAAGTTAGTGATGAAACCTACCAAACCATTTTTGCCATCCTCGAGGGGGGCAAGCCACTGCCCAGCGTAAGACTGTCTGTAGCCTCCACGAAACAGTTGGCCTCTGTGGTCGGATGTCGGCCAGCGGCCCTCTGCTATGCAATTCATCGACCACTGAACGACATCGCGCAACAATCTGAGCGAATCATCCCTGAGCCATTTGAGCACAACACAAGCAACGAGAAGGAGCCCATCGAATTCGTGCCAAGACACAGCAGGAGACAAATATTGCACCAGTGCAGAAAGGGGCGATAAACCTCTCTTGCAAGCAACGTCGTCGCCGCGAAGAGTCAGAGGGCAGCACCACTGCGGATGTTCTAAACATGTACTGATTGCGAGGGTGCGCAGGAAACCAGGCCTCGCGTGTTGCCACATCTGTCCAATATTTCACTCGCACCTCCTCCGCCCCGAAGATTCGTTGGAATTCGTTGGGGTTCCCCACGTAAGCTCGAGCGAAAAGTTCGTGAGACAATAGCACTCCGACCTCTTTGACATCCGTTCCACGCTGATCTTTCTTCATAAATGGCATTGGACATGCATGCGGATCCAAATCGCTAATCATGTCACAGAATCGTTTACAATGATTTGCCAGATCCCTCTCAGGGTTCTGCGTCGCGAGAGATCCAAGGTGCCTGGTTTCGGGCGCCATCTGAGCCTCTCTGCAGGCAGCAGCTGCCCCCGCGATGACGTCGGCGCAAAATCTCTCCTCGCGAGGCGCGGGGGGCCGGGGTCATCGGCGCAGCAAGCAGCAGCAGGAGGAAACTTGCAACGTCGAAATACGAATGGCCATGCACAGTAGCTCGGGCGAAGAGAACTACACACACGCACCGATCCGGGCAAAGCCCGCCCTTGACCCAAGATCGGCGCATATGCCTTCCTGGCCAAGGTAGACGGCGCATGCACCGATCCAGGGCTCAGGGCGGCCCTGGCCAGAATCGGTGTATGCGCATAGTTCCCTACCTAGGCTCTGCCTAGAAGGGTTCTTACTCTCTAGCTTAAAAGGGTCGGGCAGTGGAAAGCGCCCCGGGCGGTTCCCCCAGCCCCCGCCCCGCGGCCCCCCCAGTCCCCTGGGAGCTTTAGCTGGGAGCTTTAGCTTTAGCTTAGCTTTCGCTTAGCTTTCGCTTAGCTTTCGCTTAGCTTTAGCTTAGCTTTAGCTTTAGCTTAGCTTTAGCTCAGCTTTAGCTTAGTTTTAGCTTAGCTTTAGCTTAGCGGTAGCTCAGCTTTAACTTTAGCTTAGCTTCAGCTTTAGCTTTAGCTTAGCTTTAGCTTAGCTTTCGCTTAGTTTTAGCTTAGCTTTAGCTTAGCTTTGGCTTAGAGTTGGCTTAGCAGCAGCTTAGCTTTAGCTTAGCTGTAGCTTAGCTTTAGCTTAGCTGTAGCTTAGCTTTAGCTTAGCTTTAGTTTAGCTTTAGCTTAGCTTTAGCTTAGCTATAGCTTAGCTTTAACTTAGCTTGAGCGTAAATTTAGCTTAGCTTTAGCTTGGCCTCAGCTCAGCTTTAGCTTAGCTTTAGCTTAGCTTTAGCTTAGCTTCAGCTTAGCGTTAGCTTAGCTTTAGCTTAGCTTTAGCTTAGGTTTAGCTTAGCTTTAGCTTAGCTTTAGCTTAGCTTTAGCTTAGCTTTAGCTTAGTTTTAGCTTAGCTTTAGCTTAGCTTTAGCTTAGCTTTAGCTTAGCTTTAGCTTAGCTTTAGCTTTAGCTTAGCTTTGGCTTAGTTTTAGCTTAGCTTTAGCTTAGCTTTAGCTTAGCTTTAGCTTAGCTTTAGCTTAGCTTTAGCTTAGCTTCAGCTTAGCTTTAGCTTAGCTTTACCTTAGCTTTACCTTAGCTTTACCTTAGCTTTAGCTCAGTTTTACTGTTACTACTAATGCTGCTTTCCCAGGGGCTCCAATCCCTAGGTAGGGTCGCACTGGGATAATTCTCTTTCCCCTAGTAGCATCGGGTTGGGCTCGAGCGCTGCACAAGTGACCAGCGAAAAAAATGATGGGAGGGCAAAAGGAATGGCGAAGCTGAGGGAGACGAGCGATCAGGATGAGGGGGGGGGGGGGGGGGGGATTGCGACCAGGGGCAGCGAAAAGATTGACAGGGATGGAGGCAAGCGGCGGAGGCCGAACTGCCCCAGGAAGGAGAGGTCCTCCTCGGTAGCATTCTCGGCGCCAGGGCACGTACGATGCTGACTGTTGCCTCGCACGCTCCGCTTCAGCGCTTCAGCAACCTGCGTCGGCATTTGCTGGTCGATCTGCCAGCCCCAAGTCCACTCGCCAGCCGAGCTGATGTCAGAAGTCTGCGACGACTTCCGCTTCTCCTCGATGGCGACCTTCCCCCAGGAGCATTGCTGCTTCACCCAGGTCTCGAACCACTTCTGCGGGTCGCTGTCGACGACCTGACTGAGGTTCTCGGGAACCTTCTCGCCGCGAGCAGTGCCTTTAGACTCTTTGCGGCTCCGCATGAAGGCCGCCCACTTCCTGAGGCGCCCAGCTGGATCCATGTTAGCTCCGCGCACTGCGGCCGCGGCGGCCGCCACCGCCTTCTGAGCCACGTTGGCGGGGGGCGACGCAGCGAGCGTTTCCTTGGCTGAAGGGAGATTCGGCGTCGGAGGACCCGGAGATGGCGGCGGCGCCCCCCCTGGCACCCGAGGCAGCGCCGCCTTCGCTGGCGACGACTTCATCGGCGGAGGCACCGCTGAAGCCTTGACTGGTGGCGGCGTTCCAGCAGCAGCTTTCTTCTGTGGCGGCCCTGGCGGCTCGGCAACAGCAGCAGCACCAGGCGGCTTCGCAGCCGAACCCGCGCGGCCGCCGCGCCCGCGGCCGCCGCCAGACGTCCTTGCTCTCTTGGGTTCTGGCTGCCCGTCGGAACCAGTGGATCCTGCCTTCTGCTTCCCCATGGCGGCTTGCTTCGCCATGAAGTCGCGAAGGCCAAGTTCCTCCTTGACGGGGCCGCCGGCAGCCTCCCGTGGCGGCACAGCCTCAGACGATCTGGAGGTCGGAAAGGGGTGCGGCATAAAAGGGGCATGGTGCCAATCGTGGAAATGGCGATGCGATCTGCGATACATCACAGCGCCATATCCCCCATGACACGAACTTAGCACCGCACCCCTTTTATACCGTACCCCTTTCCTACCTCCAGAGACGAACCAGCTGCGGCCATCGCTGAGCACGGTCGACGGATGCAACTTGTCGTGAAAAATTCCCATCAGCCCTCTGGGCGTAGGTGGTCTAGAGCAGATCCTCTTCCACCCCTCCCTCTCCCCCCTTGGGGAGGGGTTTACCCCTCCCCCTACCCCCCCCCCTGGACCTGGACGGAGGGCCCCGCGAGCGGTCGGGCGGCTCTTTCGGCCCCAAGATGGCTTCAAGAGCGCCTCAGCGAGCCCAAGATAACCTCCAAGATGGCTCAAGATAGCGCCAGATCGCTTAAGATGGCTCCCGAGATGTTCCCAGAGGCCCAAAGACGGCCCCAAGACGGCTCCAAGTGGCCAAAGAGCTCCCCAAGGAGGCCCCGAAGAGGCCAACATCGTCCCAACACCTTAGGAGCATCAGTGTTTTTTTCCCCACATCCTGAGTGGGGTTCTTGTTTTCCCAGAACACCCTCTCCTTCCCACCCACCTCCCGCTCCATCTTCCATACAGCACAAGATTATTCCTACCACACACACCATACCATACCATAGTTCCTACCACACATACCATACCATACCATACCATACCATAGCATACCATACCACCCCTCCCACCCCTCCAGGGAGGCCCCGCCTGAGCGAGGAGGGTATCGGAATACCATACTATTTACATGGTTCCGTGCCCCTCCCACACCTCCAGGGAAGCCCCGCCTGAGCGAGGAGGGCATCGGAATACCATACGAGGTACATGGTTTCGCGCCCCTCCCACCCCTCCAGGGAGGCCCCGCCTGAGCGAGGAGGGTATCGGAATACCATACTATTTGCATGGTTTCGTGCCCCTCCCACCCCTCCAGGGAGGCCCCGCCTGAGCGAGGAGGGTATCGGAATACCATACTATTTACATGGTTTCGTGCCCCTCCCACCCCTCCAGGGAGGCCCCGCCTGAGCGAGGAGGGTATCGGAATACCATACTATTTACATGGTTTCGTGCCCCTCCCACCCCTCCAGGGAGGCCCCGCCTGAGCGAGGAGGGTATCGGAATACCATACTATTTACATGGTTTCGTGCCCCTCCCACCCCTCCAGGGAGGCCCCGCCTGAGCGAGGAGGGTATCGGAATACCATACTATTTACATGGTTTCGTGCCCCTCCCACCCCTCCAGGGAGGCCCCGCCTGAGCGAGGAGGGTATCGGAATACCATACTATTTACATGGTTTCGTGCCCCTCCCACCCCTCCAGGGAGGCCCCGCCTGAGCGAGGAGGGTATCGGAATACCATACTATTTACATGGTTTCGTGCCCCTCCCACCCCCAGGGAGGCCCCGCCTGAGCGAGGAGGGTATCGGAATACCATACTATTTGAGCGATGGTTTCGTGCCCCTCCCACACCTCCAGGGAGGCCCCGCCTGAGCGAGGAAGGTATCGGAATACCATACTATTTGCATGGTGTCGTGCCCCTCCCACACATCCAGGGAGGCCCCGCCTGAACGAGGAGGGTAGCGGAATACCATACTATTTACATGGTTTCGTGCCCATCCCACCCCTCCAGGGAGGCCCCGCCTGAGCGAGGAGGGTATCGGAATACCATACTGTTTACATGGTTTCGTGCCCCTCCCGCCCATCCAGGGGGGCCCCGCCTGAGCGAGGAGGGTATCGGAATACCATATTATTTGCATGGTTTCGTGCCCCTCCCACACCTCCAGGGAGGCCCCGCCTGAGCGAGGAGGGTGTCGGAATACCATACTATTTACATGGTGTCGTGCCCCCCCCACACCTCCAGGGAGGCCCCGCCTGAGCGAGGAGGGTATCGGAATACCATATTATTTACCTGGTTTCGTGCCCCCCCCCACACCTCCAGGGAGGCCCAGCCTGAGCGCGGAGGGTATCGGAAAACCATACTATTTACATGGTTTCGTGCCCCTCCCACCCCTCCAGAGAGGCCCCGCCTGAGCGAGGAGGGCCGCGGAAAGCATTACTCTTCGCCAGGTTTCGTAGCCCTCCCCCCGTCCAGCGGGGCCCCGCCAAAGCGAGGAGGGCATCAAGAAAATGGGTCCCACGAAACCGTTAATCTCTTTATGTGGGGAACTCCGTTAGCATAATTGCGTTTTCCCCGTTTCGCTTCCGATGGCCATCCAAGGCCTCAAGGCGGCCCCAAGATGGCCCAAGAGGGCCCCACAAGAGGCCCAAGAGAGCCCCAGGACGGCCCCAAGAGTGCCCAAGAGCGCTCCAAGAGCGCCCCAAGAGCGCCCCAAGAGGCGATGTTTGGAGCTCCTGAGGGGGGAGCCTAATTAGGGAACCCCCCTTCGTTGATCGATATCCTCCAAGATGGCCCCAAGAGCGCCCCTACAGCCCCCAAGAGCGCCCCAAGAGCGCCCCAAGAGGCGCCCAGACGGCCCCAAGAGGCGCCCAAGGGGCTTCCAAGAGGCTCCCATGAGACCCCCAAGAAGCCTCAAGAGGATCTCCGACATGCATTCAAGACGCCTCTGGCTCTTCGGTTCGCCGTCCTCTTCAAAGTATCATCCCCCTCTTCCTCCTCATCCTTCTCCTCCTTATCCTCCTTCTCCTCCTTCTCCTCCTTCTCCTCCTTCTCATCCTTCCCCTCCTCCTCCCTCTGCTCCTTATCCTCCTTCTCGTCCTCCTCGTCCTCTCCCTACTCCACTTCCTCCTCCTCCTCATTCTTCTCCTCCTCCTCCTCCTCTCCCCCCCCCCCCTCCCCCTTCCGACGAAGATTCCTTCTCCATTATCCCCCTCTTGGGGTGCGTGACAGCTTCCCCCGCCCCTTGTTATTCTGCATGCTCCCCGACTTCCCCGATCACCTCAACCCCCCTGAGCGTCGTTTCTGGATGGGCTGGTGGGGGCGCGCGAAGCGTCAACAGTTATAGCGAGATAAAGCGCGGACAGCTGCGAGCTGCGAGCCAAAATGGGCGATGGAGGTGAGCACGTGCTTGTCGAGTGCCTCCGGGAGGCAGGTTTGGGGCCTCATTTGGGATGTTTGGGTGCTTCGTGGGGCGTCTACTGGGAGGGGGTCATGCTGAGGTCCTATGATTCGGGGCCGCCCTGGATCCTTTGAGGGGGTCAGACTGAGCACGACGTGGGGCATCTTGGAGGACGGGGTGGGGTTATTCGAAACATCGTTGGGTCTCCTCCTCCTCGTCATCCTCCTCCTTCTCATCCTACCCCCCCTGTAGGCATTCGTAGGGTTCGTAGGGCATCTCTGTTTCACCCTGGGCCGGTTTCTTCTCGTTGTTTTTGGTTCGGTCGTTGCGGCCATTGAAAACTCATTGGTTTTTGGATGTGTCACGTGTAGCTCATGCCCGCCGCGTTTCAATGTTGCCCGTTTTAACTACCCTTAGACCGCGACAGCCACAGAAATAGAGGAAGAGAGGGATATATATATAGAGAGAGAGAGAGAGAGAGAGTGAGTGAGAGAGAGAGGAATAATGAAAAACAAAAAACAACAAAAAAGAGAGAGAGAGAGAAGAGAGAGAGAGAGAGGAAGAGAGAGAGAGAAAGAAAAACAAAAAATGGGAAACAAACAAATAATTAAAACAATGAATGAGATGGAGAGAGAGAGAGAGAGAGAGAGAGAGAGAGAGAGAAGAGAGAGAGAGAGAGAGAGAGAGGAGAGAGAGAGAGAGAGAGGAAAAACAAAAAAAAAAAAAACACGACAGGGGGCGCAGGGCAGCCTTGATCAGGCTCCTCGACGGGTCGCCCCACTCGCCGTCGTTTCCTCCAAATACGCCCCATGAAACTGGGCGCCGGGCAGGGCCAAGCAGGAGATCGACGAGAAAGAACGGAGAAGGTTGAGGGCTGAGAAAGTGGAGGAGAACAGAGGAGGAGGGGAGGAGGGGGAGGGGGAGGAGGAGGAGGAGAGGAGGAGGAGGAGGAGGAGGAGGAGAAGGGGGCAATGGAGATGGAGGGAGGAGGAGGAGAAGGAGGAGGAGGAGGTGGAGGAGGAGGTGGTGGAGGAGGAGGAGGAGGAAAGGAGCCGGAGGAAGGGGGGAAGGAGGAGGGAGACGGAGGGGCGGAGGCGGAGGAGGAGGGCGAGGAGGAGGAGGAGGAGGAGCAGGATGAGAGGGGGGAGGTGGTTCGAGGAGGCGGAGGCGCAGGGGGGAGGGGGAGGTGGAGGAGGAGAAGCAGGCGATGATTCGGCGCAGCGAAACTTCCAGGAGCATGCGACCAAACCCAGTCAGAGCCGCCCACGAACGGCCAGGACACCCAGAGACATCCTACCAATACCCCAAATAAGACACTGACCCCCAAGGCGCCTCGATGTTTTCAGAGCACCCCTCGTGCATTGACATTTTTTGGGGCGGCGACTGCATGTTGAGCGACTTGGGGATGTCGCTCACGCCCGACCCGCAGCCTTTAATTCCTCGGACCTGGAGAGGGGGGACAAGGTTAGATCACGAAGAGGGCCCGCGTGCACTCCCCAAATTATTTTTGGAGCGCGTCCCCGAAACAGTCTTGGAGATCGGTCGGCCCCAACGCCCGCTCAGAGGCGCACGGTGCAACTCACGCTAACTAACGCTAACTCACGCTAACTCACGCTAGCCCGCGGCTCACCCGAGAGCAGCGAAGGGGCGGGCGGGCGAGCGGAGGAGGGGGGGGAGAAAAAATTGGGCGGAGCGGAGCGGGAGGAAAAAAACATCGGCGGGGCGGAGCGGGAGGAGGGAAACACAAAATTATGAGGGGGGCAGGAGGGATAGGTGAGACAATTGGCGGGGCAGGGAGGTGGGCGGGCGGGCGACCGAGACAACAGTTCATCAGCACCCCCTCGAGCAGATGCGTCGACCGATGGGGCTCGCGGCGGGGGGTCCTCGAACAGGCTTCAGAAGCAACGTAGCTCCAAGGCTACACAAAACAAGGTATGGGCTATGTTTTTTTTTGCGCACACGTGCTCGGCAGATGGCGCATATCACAGGCGACGCTCGCGTTGCACCACGGCGACGAGGGAGCAAAGGGAGGAGGGCAATCAGGGGTTGGAGCAGGAGCAAGGATAGGAAGTAGAAGGGGCGGTGGGGCGGGCCTGAAAAGGAAGCGCCTGTTCAAGACA